TCAGCTTTTGCAGCTGCAACCTATAAGCCAAAAAAATTTATGAAAAAAACACTGACACGATTGATGACTGTATATTCATTTATAAACTTTTTGGGTAATCAACATGCTGTAAAGTGAATTATTTAGTTTCAATTAAAGTAAAAATAGCAGGTGATACCTCACGGGGATCCTCTTGTGATGAATCACGTAGAGAAAATAATTCCTTTTGGCGGTAAGCAGCATTATCGTCAAAATTCATTTTTGCATCAGCAGCTACTAACTTTTTATCAGACGTTTCGGCAAGAGGATTGATCTGATAATAAGGCAAGCATTAAAAATTCCGTAAGAGAATGCATGAGAAAAGGCTTGAGTTTGAAGGCTAAAAATATATTGTACATCCATTTACTAGAACAAAGAAAAACATATATTATTAAGAAGGGCCACTGAAAGGCCACACCTCCAATAATGTGCAGTCACATTGACAAAAAAGATTGTACAACTTCTTCACTTGTTCAATTGAATCGCTTCTGTCAGCCACCTTAGGGGCCAAACCATCAACAACCTTTGCTGCATCACTGTCTGTAATGCCTTTAAACACATCAATAGGTACCTAATAGGGAAAATGAAATGTATCAGGAATCATTAAATACATAATTATAATGGGAATAAAATAAACAAAGTGCAATGGGTTTGAAAGGAACCTTTATAATCATATCAGGGAACTTTTCAGCCAGGTCCTCAATACTTGTTCCTCCCTTTCTGCAGGCAATTATAAGCTGCAAGGAAAGCAAAGGAGACACATGTGTACATCTTTAGATTACAATCAATATCAAAGAACTTATCCGGAACATCCTTTGAAAATCAATAAGATGCAAATGGAGCTTGTTTTATTACGTACAGGACCAGCAGTTGCACGATCAAGAATAATGGAGAAGTACATCTCATTGACTAGTGACAATTTCTCACACAGATAAACCTGCAAAAGATGCAAGTATAACTTCTTGAATCTCAAAAAAAGTTCCCAAAAAATTAAGCATCTACAGCTTCATTTTCAATCCAAGTTACATTTATATCTCTGTATAGTGGTAGACCGTAGATGGAATATACTCACACACACACACACGCACGCACACACACACACGCAGACACACACACACACTCCATATGTATATAAAGAGACTGTTTTAGCCTCATACGAAGTATCAGTTATCACAGCTTGATCTTTAAAAGAAAAATCATATGGCACCACTATTAAAGCATGTTCGTCGAGGGAATCGCTGTGAGTTGAGTGTGTTTTCATTATTATGTGAAGATTATGAAATATGAAAATGCTACTAGTTTCATGAAGTTGAATATGGAAATATGTAGTATATGTCAAACCTTGCTGACAATTTTCCCTTGGGATCCAGTTTGTTCAGTAACAAGTATCTGCCCTAGCATCTTTCCTGGAAAAAAAGGAAACAATCATTTTGACATCTAGTTTTGTTCATTAAATTCCACCATTATAATGTATTCAGGAAGACTGCCAAGCACTATGAAACAAATATTGGGTCTTGAAGTACTACAAAAATTTGCACTATTACTGGCAAGTGTATTCATGACTTTGATTACCGAAGCAAATAAAAAACGGAATCGTGCATCCCTTCTTCCAAAGCACAGAAATAAGAACAGATGTTGTTAGATGAAAAATTAAAAAAAAACATGTGATGAAGATAGGTTTCAGTACTAAAAAATCACATCTCTGCAACACAAGCTTGTTGCTTTATCCAGTTTGAAAAGGTAAAAACAATGCAATAAAAACATAAACAGAAACACCCACACGCAGAGAACAAACCGTCTAAAAGAGGCAGTGCTCAGCCACACTAAGTCCTCTACCCACTTCCCCCTCCCGGAAGGCCGGAAAAAAGAATACAAAAAGAAACACCCATTGACAGATACTCCATCCAGCCCAATTTAAATCACCTTTTGTTGTTGTTTATGACGTTTGATTGAAATTATTTTCACCTCAAAGTAGTTGAAAATTGGCATTCAACTAAGAAAAAAAATTTACATATTTAAAAACTACATCAAAAGATCTACAAAATAAGAGTTGACAAGACTATATTATTTTAACAAATGGGTAGTGAAAATGGGTAAAAAAAAGTGGTTAAAGTTTGACCGTGTGAATAGTAAACATAGTAAACAAACAACTTAAATTGTGACAGAGGGAGTAATAAATAGTCTCTATCACCTGCTACATCTCCGGCTTGATCAGTCTTCACGATATGAACACCACCTTGAAATCCATTTTTGAATTTTCCCAAGCCCCGTCCACCAGCAAGCACTTGAGATTTCACAACAACCTACAAGAAATGCCAATCCCATAAATCGCTTAAACCAAAACCACTTGACATAATTCAGATGCATGCAGGTGAAAAACATTGCTACAAACAATCAGAAGGCTCTCCAAAATTACCTCATTTTGATTGGGGAAAAATTCCTGAATTGCCTTCTTCACCTCTCCAATGGAGCCAATGGCTACACCCCGTGGGACATTGATCCCATGCTTCCCCATCAACTCAGCACCCTGTTAACACATGGCCCCATATCCAATGCATACGGAGCATTAAAATTCTCCCGAGATTATATGCCTTTCAAGGCAGCCGTAAGGCTTGAAAAGTTTAAATCCATTAACACAGACAGCATCCTTTGTCATGAACATTTCATTTTGAGAAGTACTAATAAACAAATATGGTTCTAAAATGAGATTCAAAAGCATACAGAAAGAGAGTATATGCATTTGCAACGAGATTCACGCAGTTATAAACAACATATTAGAAGACAGAAAGATAATAAGGAGTTTAAAATCTCCGTAATATACTTGGTATTCATGGATGTTGAGGCGGCGAAGCTGTTGTTGTTGCCATTTCCCGGCGAGGGAAAGCGATCGTCCGGCGAGTTTGCGTAGCAATCCTCTCACCATTCTTCGGATCCGTTAAACGTCGGAATCTATTGTGTGAATATTTAATTTAGGGCAGGTTTCCTTCACCATTTCTCTTGTGTATTTTATAACTTAATTAAAATTAAATCAGATTATCTTTATTAATTATTATTATTATTAAAATAATAAATATAATAATAAAAGTAATTCATAATAATGATAATAATAATTTTTATTAAAATAATAAATAAAGTTATAATAATAATTAAAATATTAAATGTAATAATAATAGTATCTAAACTAATAAATTGAATATTAATAAATAATAATGATTTATAACTACAAATAAAAATAATTAAAATAATAATTATTATCATTTTTATTATTAAAATAATAATAATGAGGTTAAGAATGACTGGCAACAAAGCGAGAAATTAAAAGTCGATTTTTTTGTAATATACAGAATATAATATTTTCCATTCTCTCGCTAACATCACCAATTTTTTCGAATATTCATTATAGTTTAAGTGCACGTACTACACTTTTTCAAAGTGGTAATACAGTTCTTACACCATCATCTTAACCATCTTTCATGCAATCGTGAATCACTAATTTTCCTCGTGCTATCATTGAAAGGTTGTCTGGTTATCCGTCTCCAACGTTAAAGTTTATTAAAGTGTGTAAAATGTTCTTTGTGAATAATCATGCATGGGAGTTATAATGAAAGAAAGATTCGCTCTTTTATAAACCTTTTCATATTTTGGAATCATTATTTGAACGTTTTAGGTGAGTTGGGGTTCAAAGTGTCATCCTGTTCTCTTATCTGGCTATCCATCCCTTGAACAATTGAACCACTTGAATGCCTCTATTACGCTAAAGCATCCGCCATTTGTGCAATGTCCCCGCCTTGTCCATAGCGCGAGAAACACCCCGAATGAAATGTTTTATACAATTAAATATAATTTTTATATTACAATTTGTTTTTCATAACGACACTACAAACTGTTTTCCAATAATTCAATACATTTTTTCATGTACAACACTATAAAAATATGAAAATGACACAATATTTTTTCCTTTTTTTCCAGCGAAATGACATTTTAATTTTTTTTCTAGTAAATTATCCAAATTTTTTGAGTACTACAATTCTGCAAACAAATTTTTAGAGTTTCACTGTATATTATTTTTTCGATAATTCATTCAAAAATTTTTTCTGAAATGGGTCATCAGCACTTCAAGCAAATATACCATTAGTGTCCAAATATGTGAGACAAGTTTTTGACAAAAATGTAATGGTAATGCTATACTCCCTTTCTCCATAAATAAAGAAACTTAATTTTAAATTTCATCGTTTTTAGTTTTAAATAAATTAAAGACAACTACATCTCTGGTCTTGTGACTTTTTTGGATTAAGTGTAATATTACTTTTTTGAACAATACTAAGGGTACACTAACATGTGGTATCTCATATGTTGGCTTGGTGTACCCCTAGGTTAATTCTACTTTTTTTTTTTGACACAAGTTTTTGACAAAGGTGTAAGGTTATAATTTTAAAAACTTAATTTTAAATTTCATCTATTTTTAGTTTTAAATAAATTGAAGACAACAACATCTTTGGTGTTGTGACTTTAAAAAAAATAATTGAAAAAATTCTTTATGTGACGGAAAATATAAAAAATTCTGTTAAAATAAAAAGCATTCCGGAATGCATTAAAGAGAACAATTTGCCTTAAATAAATCAATTCTTTTTAGTTTGCAAAAAAATTATTATTTCATATACAGATTATTCTGTTTGGTATTTATTGAACTGGAAGGGGATGACCACATAACTCATTTTCTTCATATTTTTTGTGGTTTTGTTACAAAATATTGGCTTTTTAAGAAAATGATGGAATTGAAAATATAATTTTAGGAGAATATTTTTTGGATACAAAAAAAAAGTTGTTATTTGAGATAATTTTCTCAAAACTTATTTATTGGAATCTTAGCAAACATTAAACGAATGTAGCATGCTGCTGGGTAGAAACACACACAAACACTCGGTACAAACACTCTCAATCGGCTCAATAAATACTCTGTAATTTCCTAATGTCTTTCAATCCAGCTCACATGACATTGTACATTTTCAATCTCGATTTCTGGAAAAGTGGAAATATGTTTGTTTGGGTTGTTTGAAAGTTTCAAATACTTCTTCTCTGCACTGACGGGCCAAAAAATCAGAAAGGGGAAGTGACAAAGATTTTTTTTTTAAGTTTCTGGTTGAATCATATATTGCATTTCTGGGTTGATCTAAGGATTTCACTTTCGAGAAATTCGGAGAGATAAGCTATGGGGAATGGCCTGGACGGGCTTGGGGTCTACAATCGCTGCTCCCTTTACGCTTCCACCGGTGAATGGTAAAATTTATTATTATTCTTCTTCTTCATCTTTAGTTGCATCTCCTTTTTCTTTTTCTTTTTTTAAAGTAAGACTTTATTTAACTTCAAAATTTCATGGACTGCCTGTTGGGTGGATTAAATATCATATTTCCCCTTTCATCGAGTTAGTGCTCTAGGGTTTTGTGCGTGACACTCTCCAAATAGTTGAAAGCTATGATTTTTATGAACTTTTTAGAATTTGGGTGGTTTAGTTGTCCTGAATTGGGGGTTGAGAATTTGGGTTATCTGATTTCGGCATTACATGGGATAATCTCAATCATTGATTGACAGATCAAAGATGCTTGCTTTTGGGTGGGGTGGGGGTGGGGGGAGGGGGCTTTTTTAAGTGTTTGTGTAGGTTCTGAATCTTTGCCCTAAGGGGGTGAAAGCCTCAAACTCTGTACTTTGTTATTTTATGCTTTTCCGGGGACAGTGATATCAAACATTTCATTGTTTTTTGTTTGTTTGTTTGTTTGTTGAGAAGTGAGTGTTGTTTTTGGCATTGTTGATTGTTAAGGAGTTGCAAGAAATGGCGAATGGTGTGAGGAATAAGAAGCCATTTGGAGAGTCAAGGAGGGGTTTGGCTTGTGCAAGGTTGAAGAGGAAGATGATGAAGTGCCTTTGTTCAGGGGAACGGCTAGGGGGAGATGAAATCATCCCTTCATCCGAATCACTTGCGACAAAGGATTATTATTCAGCGAGTCTCCATTCTTCGTTAGCTGGAGAACATGATCAGAAGCCTGAAACTGGAAACATTGAGGAAGCCGAGTCATCTTTGCGCGAGAGTGGTTCTTTGAATTATGAGGAAGCAAGGGCATTGCTGGGAAGATATGAATACCAGAAGGGAAACATTGAAGCTGCTCTACATGTCTTTGAAGGGATAGATATTTCATCAATAACCCCTAAGATTAAAGTCACACTTTCCCAGAGAGCTGAACCTCATAGGAGACGGTCACAAAGTTTTGTTTCACCTCCAATGTCCATACATGCTGCAAGTTTGCTTCTGGAGGCAATTTTTCTTAAAGCGAAATCGTTACAGGCTCTCCGGAAATATAAAGGTGCTCTTCTAACGCTCTACAGTTCTTGCCTCTTTTGAATATTTATATGATAAATATAATTAAGTAAAATGAATTTGACCAAATATCTTAAATAAATAAATGTATTTTCCCTCAATATTTATTTCCTTCCAGTTTTCTTTCCCTAGTATTTTCTTAGTTCAAAACAGATCATTGAGAAACTTATTTTCTTGCAAAAGTGCATGCTTGTGAAAGGTTTTAACGTGGTTGCTTCTCTTATCAGCAACTGGATTTACTTTTAGATCCTGAGCTTTATGTTTTACGTATTATGATATGCGATTTAAATATACGGGACTACCATTCATGCTTATTCTCTATGGCTTCTCCAATCATATTGCAGAAGCTGCTCGATCTTGCTCAGTTATTCTGGACGTTGTTGACTCCTCATTGCCAACAGGCTTGCCTGAAAACTTCGGCGCTGACTGTAAATTCCAGGAGACACTGAACAGGGCTGCTGAGTTGCTTCCTGAACTATGGAAGCTTTCCAGTTCTCCCTCTGAAGCGATTATCTCATACCGGCGAGCCCTCTCTCACCAGTGGAATCTTGATGCCTCCACTATTGCAAGGATTCAAAAAGAATTTGCTGTTTTCCTTCTGTACAGTGGGGGCGATTCAAATCCGCCTAATCTTCGTTCCCAAATGGACAGTTCTTTCGTGCCTGGAAACAACACTGAAGAGGCTATTCTTCTCTTGGTGATCCTATTAAGAAAAATCTCTCTCAAAAGAATCGATTGGGACCCTGAAATTCTTGACCATCTGACATATGCATTGGCCATCTCCGGGGGACTAAGAGCTCTAGCTAACCAGGTGGAGGAGTTGCCTCCCCAGACGATAGACCAGAGGGAAATGTATTACATACTTTCTCTCTGCTATCACGGAGAAGGTGAAGAAGACATGACTGCTTTGAATTTGCTGCAGAAGTTGTTGAGAAGAAGTGCAGAGAATCGGAACACTGTAATTGGTTCACTATTGGCTTCAAAGATATGCAGTTCAAGCGTAGAACACGCAGGAGAGGGTATCAAATTTGCTCAGAAAGCAATTACAAGCTTGCAAGGGAAATGTGATGAGTTGCTTGGAGTGGCCAATTGTGTATTAGGCCTTTCACTTTCAGCTCACTCAAAGTCTTTTTCTACAGATTCTGAGAGAACCCACAAACAGAATGAGGCACTTAAATCACTTGAGACAGCTGGGAGGATGACGAGAATGGAAAATTCGAGTGTCATTTACAATCTTTGTGTAGAGAATGCTGAGCAGAGAAAGTTGGATGATGCCCTTTACTATGCAAAACGCTTCCTTAAATTGGAAGGTGGATCTAGTGTGAAAGGATGGGTGCTTTTGGCTCAGATATTATCAGCCAAAAAACAGTTTTTGGATGCTGAAATTGTAATTAATGCCGGCCTCGGGCAGACCGGGAAATGGGAGCAGGGAGAACTTTTAAGATTTAAAGCTAAACTCCAGATTGCTCAGGGTCAAATGGGGAATGCCGTGGAAACATATACTCAGCTGCTTGCTGTTCTTCAGCTTCAGTCCAAAAGCTTTGGAGCAATGGGAAAGCTCGAGGTATTTTGCTTTATTAGATTGATGAATATGTTCAAGGTAGCTTTTCAGTGTTCATAATATTGGCTGATCCAATAGAAAAAAGCAGTGCATCACGGGTTACAATTATAGCTGAAATGACCAAATTACAGAAAAAAACACACGATATTAGCCAATATTATAGAAAAAAGCAGTGGATCAGCCCTTAAAGAACCCATATTTTTACACCTTATGTTCTTTAGTCATTGAGTGCTTCTTGGGTTTGTGCTCCCATCTGGTTCATGCTACTGTGTTTAATTTATTTTACTCCATCTGTGCTTTTTTGAGCCGCTGGTCTTTTGAAAACATTCTCCCTACTTTTGAGGAGAGGACATCAAACACATTTTGAGGCACTTCAGCTGAACTTTACTATTACTAAACGAGCTCTTAATTTTATCATAAACTTATTAGCATATTGTTCTAAATATCCCACATGAAGCCCATTTTCTTTCACAATGTGCTACCCCATTTTCTTTCTCTATTCTCAATTCATGTTGATGCTAACCTAATGTAACAGGATGGGCAAAAGCAGTGCCAAGAATTGCAGCTTGAAACCTGGCTTGATCTGGCTTCCATGTACATCAAGCTATGTCAATGGCAAGACGCCGAGATCTGTCTTTCCAAGGCAAAAGCTATCAGTCATTATTCCGCGTCTAGGTTGCATACAGTCGGTACGTTTAACTTCTTTTTCTAATTCTTTTTTGAGCCATGGTAATTTATTCGCTTGCCGTCAGGTTTTACTTTTCACACTTAATTTGTCAAATTAGTCATATTTTTGCAATCTTTCACATGCCTGAAGGCTGAAACAAACAATTCGTGTAGATAAATGACACACCCCTGTCCCATAAAAGGGTCTATTTCTCAATTGAATAATCAATTGAATAAACCTGCAATGCATATTAATACAAAAGTGATTTGTTTGATTTGTCTTGCAGAAAATTTCAATGTATAAATATACAACATACTCCGTAATTTGTAGTTACTTGATCATCAAAGTTCATGCAGTTAGACTGAAAGAAAGTCAAACCAGACGAATTAACTAGGACGGAATGAGTATTTTTATCCTCGAAAAAGTCCAAATTGGAGAGAAGATGCTACATTTTAATGAAAATAAAGTATGTCAAACACTCAAACAACTTAAATACGCCAAATTCAGTCCAACCGAAAAAAATTTAAAAAAAAGAAATATAGTTATATTTGACGTTTTCTTAAAGTTGCATCTAACTAAAATTAAAAGGTTGCACATTTGTGGAATGGGACTCTTTTTATGCCACAAAGAGAATATTGTACAACGAGATTTAACACAAATTTATACTGTGAGAATCTGAACTCTGGTACTGGATAATTAATCATTTTTTACATTCTTAAAAAAATTATTTAAGTGACAATATGAACTTTGTTCTGATTTGATTGCTGATGATTATTGTACGTTGGGCAACACCCACACCCAGGTTTGCTTCATGAAGCCAAGGGCCAATACGAAGAAGCGAAAAGAGAGTATAACAATGCATTGGCTGTGGACCCAGCTCATGTTCCAAGTCTAGTCTCTACCGCGCTGGTTCTCAGACGGACCCGGGACCCATCTCACCTACTTGTTAGAAGCTTTCTGATGGAAGCACTGCGGCTTGACAAAGCAAATGCTACGGCGTGGTATAATCTTGGCCTTCTCTACAAGGAAAATGGCGTGGGTTCAATGTTAGAAGCTGCTGAATGCTTTGAAGCTGCCTCTGTGCTTGAAGAGACTGCGCCCGTTGAATCCTTTCGAATGATGACCCCTCATTATTAGTCTTGTTGTGGGACCCCATGCTAGGGGTACCCCACCATTCGTCCCATCATCTTCTCACAGACATCCACATCTTGTTATGGGATCATGCTAGGGGTACCCCGTCTTTCATCCCACCATCTTCTCAAAGACATCCACGTGCACCCGTGTGAGAATAGAGTTGAGGGTGTTTTGTTGTATATGATTTGTCATTTCTTTTTGTTATCTATGTATAGTTTAGGTTTTGTATTTTATTCATGGGTGCATCAAGCATTGAGTTTTGACTGCCTCGCATTAATCATTCTATTTTCATTTGGTTTTTAGAGTAAACAATCTTGTCATTGAGGATGAATATATGATCAAGAGGTCGTTTGAGAGATTGTTTCCGTTTATCTTTGATGCATTACCTCATTGACTAACCAAGACTTCATAAAAGTTACATTTACTAATCTCAAAACCTTTAAGAAAAGATTACAGAGCAAAATTTAAAATGTCATTTTGATATGTACTCGTGCGATGCACAAAATTTTTTTTACCAAAACTTAAATCATGAATATTGGAGTAAAAGTTTATAGGTACAAATTCACATGCATCATGATACTTCATTTTTTATTTCAATACAACAAGAATAGATTCTCCCCTAAACTAAACAGATTTGCCCCCTTTTTCACTGGGGTGCATTCTCACGGCGCCTCACATAGCGTGTTCGGTCATTGTATTTGGGCCTATCTTGTGCTCTCTGCGGGACGGGCTCCACTCTCTTCTGTCGTTCGGGTGACCTCTTGACTATCTCTCCATTCACAAACAGCTCAGCTGCAACAAAAAAAACCCCACCATGTAAAAGTAAACCACATATGAAGCAACAGAGGCAGTTCTCCTCTTTGTTCACAAAGAGTAAGGAAACTATATATGAAAAAGCAGTGTGTTCACTATGAAAACAAGTTTAAAAAGAAACCACTAGCTGCCTGGTTCAAAAGAAATAAGTTCCCAACTATATTGGCTCTATGTACAGCATGCAAATACACAAATTCAAGATGGCATGGCAAATTTGCACTATCAATTTGTCCTCGATATTTTTCAAACTAAGAGGAATTCTATATGCACTCTCACATTGAGAGCGCAAGATGCAATTTCAATGTGAAAGTGCACAAAACACTTACACTATGTTTGGTTCAAGGATCTTGGAAGGAAAAGAAAAGAAAATGGTTTTTTTCTCATTTTCCTCACCAAAATGGAAGGAATTTGATTTTCCCTCCACTTGGTACATTTTGCCTCCTCATTTTCTTTTCCTTCCACTTTTCCTTTCTTTTCCCCTCTAACCAAACAAGAAAAATGGTTTTCCACTTCATTTTCTTTTCTTTTCCCTTTCAAATTCCTTGAACCAAACATAGTGTTATAGTGCAAAAACTAGAAAAGGAAAAAAAACATTTCACGTGTTAGGCAAAACATTATTGGAGCATAGAAATTACACTCCCAATGTGAGGGTGCATATAGAATTCATCAACAAGAGGAGTTCTATGTGCTATATATATACCTCCATAGTCCTTGTTTTCAGGATCAACATATGAATCTGGAAGAACAAATAGAACACCAGGCAAACCTGCATCGAATGCAAAAACACAATATGTAAAATATTACCTACCAACATTAAGAAATCCCACGTTAACAAAATAAGGAGACTCTACCTTCAAGCTTATTCGAGGTCTCCTCGTCAATCTCGCAACTGAACCCGAAGTACCTCTCGCAGGAAACATTATATATCTTCTTCTTTGCTTCCTCTTCACTAACACATATACATAACAAAATTACTTCTTTGTACATTTGAAACTAACACAATTTGATAATAATTGATTTTATTGAATAATGAGATTTTATCCCTATATAGTACGAGTATATATAGAGAACACGAAGAGAATCCTAACCATTATGGCAACACTAGAATAACTAAAGCAAATAGTAATAATATCTTGTTTCCTAATACTCCAATTATTTCGAGTATCTATACCATACATTTGGATGTATAGTGCTTCTCATACATCTGCATGAAAAGTCATTATCGAGTAATTGAATACTCTTTTTCGAGTAATAGAATACTCATTTTCAAGTAACTAAATGCTTATTTTTGAGCATAACTAAATTTTAGAGAAATGAATATTCAATTACTCGAGAACAGATATTTTTTCTTCCTCGAAAAAATGAGTATTCAGTTACTCGTAAGAGATTGAATTTTTACCAGCAATTGCAAATCAATACCTTCCAACGACTTTGGCTAGGGTTTGAATGTAACACTCAATCATTTGCTGCTTGGTAGCACCCTCCCCGCCGGGTTTATCCATGACTATGAGCCAGTGCTCGTAGTCGCATCCGGGGAAAAGGGGAGCTATCTCGGTCGGCGGCCGGTTGCCGGAACCTGAACCGGAATTGAGAGGCGAGTAGGCGGAACGATTGGCCCTGCATCTGATATGGTTGAGCGGAGCTCGTTCGGAAGCGATCAGCCGGAGCGGCCGAGTGAGAGGTGATAGCTTGTGTACGCCGAACCGTTTATGAGCAGCTGTAGAATGAGTCGTCTGTTTGTTAAAAAATACTGGTCGGATTGCGGTTGCCGCCGTCGCGCCGGCCATGGATTCGCAGGGAGAGCGACGGTGTGAGTTTGTAGGGGATAAGGGCTGTTTCGAGGGGTCAAGATGTCACGTCCAGCAGCGTTTGAAATGGCGGTCAAATTATTGAGAAAATATATTAAGTGTCCCTTTTTTAGTTGGAATTAACTAAATTATACTAATTGAATTGGAAGTTGAAATTTTATGAAATTGATTTGAATAGAATTGAATTCTCCCATTCAAATTTATTTTTGGCACTATCAATTTCAAATTCATATTTTTGTGCTCTCAAACAGTAGACTGGGAATTGTTCTTATCGATTCCAATTTTATAATTTGAATTACGTGTACCAAGCGAAACCTAAGTTATTTATATCTCAAAATTTACGGCCAAATTGTATATCACGGGTGTACACCTTCCTTTTGTGACAGTGTGAACCATCAAAATATTAATGTATATCTTTAATGATCACACTGATATACTGCAGAGTCATCCATTTTGCATCTCACTGCCAACGCGTACTCTTTCACCACAATGCTACGAGTATTATATTTCTATTTTGTTTTAAAAAATTTAGAATTCCAATTTTAGCATTTATAAACTTTTTTACTAGTATCTAGAGAGGTTTCTTTTTTTAATTTTTCAAAACAAATGTTATACTAGCATATGTTATTTTTTTCATTTCATTTTTTATTTAAAACACAAACAATTTTGAATATTAAAAACATTATGAGAAACAGTCTAAATAAAAATTTAAAAATATCTAGATTCAAAGAGAGAAAAAGAAAAAAAAACTAAAAAATAAATAAATAAAAAATAGAAAATGAACTCGAAAAATAAATAAAAAATAGAAAATGAACTCGAATACCCCTATGTGGTTTTAAAAATAGATACCAAAATTTTATAAATAAATTTTGAAAATAGGCATTGCTACCTTTTTTTTCAAAAGCAAGCTTTTTTTGGGTGAGTATTTCTAGGAAGACGAAGAGGCGGGAGACAAATAATTGAAAAGTATTGGTGGAGGGAGTTTCGGGTTTTGGCGGACAGCTTACACCACCTGGACCTCGGTGACACGCTGCGCCTATATGATTCGCCATAGCAGCAATCCCTTCCCAGATCCACAATTCCTCACTCCATTTTAGTGCTTTACACGACGGGTCGGCATCGAATTTGGTTCCGGGAAGGAGAAATCTTTAATGGCGGATTCTCAAAGCATCGCTAGGTTTCTGAACCCCTGGGCTCTTCATCTTCAGAAGCTCGGTCTCGAGCTCAAATGCCCGATCTGGTATGCCCGTTCTTTTTCACTTTTCACTTTGTGCTCCTCCAGATTTCGTTTGCATTTCATTGATTTATTGTTCTTGTGTTCTTTTTCTCGTGCTTTTACAGCCTGAAATTGCTAGATAAGCCGGTATTGCTTCCTTGTAATCACATTTTCTGCAAGTAAGTTTTCATTTCTGGTTAATTTGTTTTGCCCATGATTTTCTGATTTCATGATTTTGATGTGGAGATGAGCGCAGCCATTCAGGGAAAAATGTGTTTTTTTTGTTTGGTATTGTAGATATTCTCTTTACTTCAGTTACTAACATCCATTTGAATTACTTTTTTTGTGGAAATGAATTATTTGCTCAGTTCTTGCGTTCCCGAATGTACCCAGTATGAATCTGAATGCCTTGTGTGCAATCACCAGTTCATTAATCAAGGTATTAATATGAAACTGTAAATTCCACAATAATAATGTTTTTTGGGTATAATTATATGCAGTATTTCCTTTCTTTAGTATGGAACTCTACATTTGTAATGTAATGTAAATCTGCTTCAATTTTGTTTTTGTTGTTTTTTAAATACGTGCAGACATTAGGCCTGCACCATACATTGAAAATATAGTATCTATATACAGAACCATGGATTCTGCATTAAGTGCTGTTTCTCCATCACTGTCAGGCAAGGCTATTGTTATATTTCAAATTCACAAATTGTCATTGTAGTATGGCCTGTTTATTGTCTTATGATTGGATTTAATTGGACATTTACTTGATTTTCTGTCTATGCCACAGCCATTGGAAGATCTTTCCAGCAGTCACCAATGTCTGTTAGTTCTGCTCAAGGACAATCACCATCAAAGATTTGCAATGTTAAATCCGATATACGTGAAAAATGTGAAATGCGCCCTTGTTCGGTGGACAAGAAAGTTGATGGGAAGCCTTCAGCAGAGGAAGATGTGAATCGTTTGCCACAACATTCCCCAGCCAGCTATATTACATCAGATGACAACAAAGAAGCGGATGCCAATACGTGTCAAAAAGAATACCAGAATTTGGTGAGCTTTTAATACTCTTGAAGAGTTATGACTACTCATAGCATTTCATTCATACAGGCTTTTCAGTTCAATTAAATTTCTTTATAGTCCTTAAGTTGTAAAGAATATGTGGCCAATGTTACAGGGTTTTAGGAAAACAACTGCAAATATGTCTAGCGTGGATGCTCAACATGTGAACACAAGCGAAACTAAATGCAGAAGTAGAGAAGATGATGATGATGAATCTCTTGAAAGGGATAACAAGAGACACAAGAAATCAAACAGCCAGAGTGATGTTGTTTCTGATTCTTCCCTCCCTGTATGTGCATTCTGCAAATCCTCAAGTGCAACAGATGTGAGTTCTGAAATCAAACTGAACTTCCCTCTCCTTTTCTATGATATTGAAAGTTTGTCTCTATGTATTGATTTTTTATGCCATAATTAATCTTGTAGGCTTCAGGACCAGTTGTGTTTTATACACATGGAAAGGAGGGTGTAGAATCTCTTCCTGATAGCATACCTGTTCATAGACGTTGCATTGACTGGTACGATATTCATGGCTTCATGCTAAAACCTAACCCCTTACTGATGTATGCTTGCATTTTTTTTCATATTTGACGTATGCTTGCCCTGTTTGCATTCTATTAAGTATATACACTAGACACAAAATCCAAGAAAAAACCAAACAATAAGGTATAATCATTATCATCATTTTAATGACCTTACTGCCAACTAGAATTACTTACGCTATATTCAATTCTTATTTTGTTTTTGGAAGTTATCTGTAATTGTTTGTTATTGAGTAATATTTGGTATAATGTGATTTTAAGAATTATTAATTTTTTTTCAAAACTACTCCCTCTGTCCCCAAATTAAATTCGTAGTTTGGTCTCACAGAGTAAGAAACAAATTGAAAAATGAAAATTATGCGGTAGGAATTTGTTTGAGCTTTGAAAAACAGAGAAATGTTTTCAGCCACATTCTTTTTTTTAAAAAAAGGAAACCGAGAATTATGATCTTTATTTTTTATGGTTAAAAAAAAGAAAGTGTGAATTTAATTTGGGGATGGATGAAGTATATCAATGACTTGCAAGTCACTCCTTATTATCGTCACTCATATGTACAAATACTCATGTTGTTTTTACAGATTGCAAGTAAGCTCTTATTAGTAGTGCTACACTGCTACATAGGACTGCAGTCAATGTTAGGACCACACACACACACACACAAAGATCAAGATGAAGAATAAAATCAAGAAAACATAATCAAGATAGTAGAGAGAAAGCATAGAGTGTCTTTGGTAATGCCCAACGGGTAAACTCCACGGCTATATAGGGCTATATATTGATAATTCCAAAGTATGTACAGTATCAAATAATAAAGGTATAGTGCATCAAATATTAATCAAGCTATACAAGTTAACGTGGAAAATTTTCAAAGTTGTGTCCTGACAAAGGGTTGATCTCTTGCATGTTTTGCTTTAAGATGTGGCTTTAATCTTATAACACTGAAGTTATAATCATTTGACTTTTACCAGTGCTAACCATGAAATCATGTCTTGACAATACTTTCCCCCCCTTGTTGCAGGGCACCTCAAATATATTATGAGGGAGACATCATAAAAAACTTCAAGTCTGAATTGACTAGATCAGCAAAACTCAAATGTAATGAATGTGGACAGAAAGGGGCAGCACTTGGCTGTTATATGAAATCTTGTCCGAAGACATATCACCCGCCCTGTGCATTTGAGTCAGAAGAGTGTCGATGGGATATGGTTGGTTTATGAATGATTAACATATGTATTATGGTTGAATGAATTCTTCAAAAGCTAATAGCATTCTCATCTGAATTTTTTTCATGATCTGCAGGACAACTTTTTGATGTTGTGTCCAAGTCATACTTCTGCTAGGTTTCCAACTGAAAAGCCAAAATCTAGGAAGAGTTCCATTGTTGGAAGTCATAAGAAATCTAAGCTGTAAGAGAACTGGGTGCATCTTTTTAGGGCCTCTTTGGAACCTGGAAAAGTTATGCAAAGAATATAGGGATGAAAAAATAGGGAGAGTACACCAGACAATAAATTTTGAAAAAACATTTGATCATTTTATTATTATTAGTAGTAATTATAACTCATTCTGTTAGACATATTTTATAGTTTCTACTACTATACTAAGAAATCTAAAGTTGTGAAGCTTTTTGAACATTAATTATAATTGACTTTCTCTGTTAACATCAAACACTATGAAATAACTTTCCATAGCAGCTTTGTTTCTTCTTTCTCTAGCATTTTCTCGGATCCAACCATCCCTTGAATGAATTGGGATACCCATAATGGCATGCATAAGCTATCATTTCTCATTTGGGATACCCTTTGGTTCTTTGTAGATCCACCAAGCAGTCCAACTTTTGGTCAACATCACCCGATGGGCAAAAGGAATGGGTTCTATGTGGGTCTGCTTTGTCACCGGAGGATAAGGTAAACAACCTCTAACTAAGCAATTGACATACCTTTGGCACATTTTATTAAAAATTTTGAATGGACTTGTGAAGTCTGGATTATTTTGAGACAACCTAACTGATCTTTTCTTTTTTCCCACTGCAGTGCACTTTGGTAGAGTTTGGTAAAATGTGTGGCGCAACGGTGTCCAAACTATGGACGTCAAATGTGACTCATGTTATTGCGGCAGTAGATTCTGAGGGTGCATGTGCAAGGACCCTCAAAGTTCTCATGGCGATTTTAGGTGGAAAATGGATCATTTCAATGGACTGTAAGATTTCTCTTGTTAATTCAGTTCTTTCCTTTGGTGCCATTGTTCTTTGGACTTCTTTCAATAGTTTTTGTAAAGGCGCTGCATTATCTATAAAAGGAGGTGCAAAACGAAATATACTATTCCCTACGTCCCTAAAAGAATATCTTGCTTACCTTTTTAGTTGTTCCAAAAACTTTTCATTTCATTCACGAAAAGAAATGAGTGGTTCACATTATTTCTTTTTCATATATTTTCACCATACAATCTCACTTTTTTCTAATCTTTAAGGAAAAAAACTTCTTTTAGAGACATGGAACAATATCCACTTGATTTCTTGAGTTTGAACCAATCATATAATATTTTCTAAAATTTGTGTCCTTAAAGTTCTCCTTGTTTGCAGGGAGAATGTATACCGTACACCCGGCTATACTAGAACTAGATGCACCTGACGAATATACATTTTGAATCAACAGAATGTTCATATTAAACCGTAGTGTTCATTTTGAAGTTTGCTCAACATAGTGTTCCTTCTAAAACAACTTAATGTTCATTTTGAAACATGTTTATTTTGAAACAACGTAGTGTTCATTTTGAAACAACGTAGTGTTTGTTCTAAACCTTATTTTAATTACAAGTTTGCCATGACAAATTAAGAGGAAGTTACATCCGACTGTATAATATAATTTGCCATTTGCAGGGGTTAGAGCCTGTTTGGAGGCTAATTGCCATGTGAATGAAGAGCCTTACGAGATCAATTTGGACAACCATGGGTGCTGTGATGGGCCCAAGAATGGCAGACTAAGAGCTTCAACCGATGTAAACCCCCTCCCACACACATCTTCATCTAGAACGCATTAAATCCGGATGGAGATTAATACTTTCTTCTTGAACGCGATTCGTTTTCTGCAGGCACCAAAGCTTTTTGAGAGCCTAAGGTTTTATCCGAGTGGAGACTTCGTGGGACCTTTTCTGAAGGACTTGCTTGAGTTGGTTAAAGTGGCGGGAGGGACTGTCGTGGAGAGGAAAGAAGACCTCATTGATGCCAAAGGGCAAAATTGTCTGATCGTTTATAATTGTGATCCTCTTAGGGTGTCCATGCCAGACGCAGAGAGGTCCATCGTCCCAAAAAGGCTTGAAGAAGCAGAGGATTTGGCTAAGCAGAGCGGTTCTTTGGTGATTAAGCACACTTGGATTCTGGAATCCATTGCTGCTTGTGATTTGGTTCCTTTTGTATGATGAGGAATGGATGCATTAATGTTTGAGCTTTATGGTTTGGTTTTATTGTATTCCTTCTCATGATATATCATAATCAAATACTCCCTTGTCGTTTTAATCATTTTCCATTTCAATGGTTAGTAATGATTGTTTTTAATATCTTCTTGGGTTGTACATAATTAACTTTTCTTCTTTAATTTAAAGAAAGAATTGCACTGTTTCTTTTTAGAGTGTGGTTTCCTTGGCACTAGGGCAATGGTGATACTAGCGGTGCCACTGCGTGCTCCATTTAGTGTCAACGGTTGGCACTTGTTCATTTTGAACTTTTCCAGTGCTCCAAATGAAAAATTAATTGTTCCTACCCTCAAATCTCATCTCTAAACCCCCCCACAGCACCCCACCAAGTCCGACCCTAGCACCCCCACCCTAGATTCCTCTTTTACACCCTCCAAATGTGTGGTTATTATGCATTGCCAAAATAATTTTCTTTGAAAGAATTGCTAACATAAATGAAGTATGTCAAAACTATATGGAGTATTTTAAAATAAAACTAAATGTTTACTCTTAAATCATTAGCGTCAATTCAACTATTAAATCTTATTCTTTTTTTTAGTAAGGTTGTTAAATCTTATCTAAGATGAAGTATAAAAATATGTTATTTCAAAAGTACATTTAAAAATAAATATATTAAGGTAAAGTCTACGATATATATTTTTAATATTGGATTTCAATGTGAATTGTGTCATAAAGACAGTGATTTGATATATTTTAAACCTGATCCTATCTCTACAAATCCTAAGCCCCCCTGCACCCCTTGGACAATTACCCTATTCGACCTATCCCTAACACTCCTAACCCACTTCTTACCTCAAGTCTAATTAACCATCCCAGGTTTTCAAATTGTTAATGTCATTTTTTGGCACTCAAGTTTCAAAACCTAATCATTAAATATCTATTTTAGGTACATGCATTTTTTTACCCTGATACATTTGAAAATTAAATGAATTCCTATATTTTAAATCGAGATGAGCGATGTTTATGTTTTGAAAATAAAAACTTGAAATTAAAATTACATAAACAAGTGGATTTATCTGCATTTGCACATATTTAGAACAGGCATATTGTAAGATTAGTGCATGAAAAATTACGAATTACAAGATATTACAATGATTATTAGGTATACATAAAAAAAAGTAAATTCCATAAAAGGTCCTCAGTTATAGGTCGTTTTACATATTTAGTCCCTACATATCAAATATTACAAATTTAGTCCCCAATTCTTATGTTCATTTCCACGAATGGTCTTTTGTTAACGTTTCCTTTAAAAACGCGGATAAAATTATAAATTCACTCTTTTCTCTCCCCAATTAATTTTCTTCTCTCTCCTCGTGCTCCTTTCCCAAACCCGTCATTGAATTTGAAGCTTTGAAACCAAAATTGAAATTATCACTTTTCTCTCAATTGTTTGTCGAACTGGTGGAACCCAAATTCAAAGCCAATAACCTTCATGGATGAGTTTAATGTTTATTTTCTTTGTAATTTCTTGAGACTAACAGATAAACTCATCCATAAAGCTTATTGAAAGAGGAGTGATCATTTTTAGTTTTGGGTTTAGAGCTTCAAACTCAACGACGAGTTTGAGAAAGAGTACGAGAGGAGGGAGGAAGCTTAATTGAGAAGAGAGAGAAGTATGAATATACAATTTTATCAATGTTTTTAACAAAAACGTTAACAAAGGACCATTCGTAAAAAATGATATAATAATTGGGGACTAAATTAGTAATATTTGATATATAGGGACTAAATATGTAAAACGCCCTACTGGGGACCTTTTATCGAATTCACTCCATAAAAAATACCTTACTAGTACAGTATTTATTTATTTTTTATTTTGGGGTGGATCTAAAGGGGCAACGGTCCTGATAATGAAGATTAATGATTAAACAGGCTGTTTTTTCACTAAAATCCACCTTCATTTGTAACGGTCACATTTTGTCCTTTTATTCAAACTTAGACCAACCAAAAAAAACCCTAGGCATGGCCTACCGAGAAAATATTTCGACCGTTTCACCTTCTTCTTCTTCTTCTTCTTCTTCATTTCTTCTTCTCCGTCTATTCCACTCTGCGGACTCCCATAAAAAAATGACCCTTTAACCCCTTTCTCCCCGCCACCGCCGTTGATCGGAAGAGAAGATTGCAGAAGAACCAAATCTCAACGCCTATAAACTCTCTGTAAAATGGGAAATTTTCTCGGATGCTTTGGTGGTAAAGACGATTCTCGCAAGAGAAGAAAGCAGAGGAACGATGTTGTTCCTCGAGACCAAGTAAGGACGATCCTTCTCAGTTCTCTGCAGTTGGCTTGCTGTATCTTGAAATTTCATCTTGTCGGATATAGATTCCTTTTTTTAAAAAAATTGTTCTTATTATTACTATCCCAAATTGCATATTGCAAACTGAATCCCACTTTGATTTTGTGATGTTCATCTGTTTATGCTTTTGATATTTCTGAGATTCCGATGATCTGAGAAAATTAAGGTGCGATCTTTATTGCAGAGACATGGTTTCCAAGGTATTCCGCAGAGTGCAATTTCCAGGGAGAAAAGCTTCTTCACTGAACCACCTCCAGCTAACCTTGTCTTACAGTTAGTAGTTTACCGATCCCAAGTGTTAGTAGTTTGGAGGTTTATGTTTTTCATCAATTTACAAATTGTGTTTTTCCTCTGTGCTCATAGGAACACTACTGAGGAGAAAGTGAACTTAAGCACCAGAAAGCGAGTTACATTCGACGAAAACATCACAACATATGAACACATTTCAGTTAAAGAAAGCACCGAAAGTTTGCCAGAGAAGCCAGTTGAAGCTGAAAATGAAAAGCAAGAGGAGAAGCCAAACCGATCCAGCTCTTCCACAGAAGGTGGTTATGCTATTCCCAGTGCAGAAACTTACCCTTCCAATTACAGGTACCAGAACTGCAGGGACAGCGATGAAGAAGAGGAAGAAGAAGATGATGATGATGATGAAGAGTTTCACGACTCGTGTGAGGAAGATGAGTATTCTGATGGTGAAGATAGGGCACTAGCTCACGAAATATGTTCTGAACCAGTGGATTCATATTCTGGTCAGAAGCAGTCCTTAGTAGATCATGGTGTGGATGATCGGAAAGGATACATTAGAGACAGAAGTGTTTATGTTCATCCCGTTCTTAACCCAGTGGAGAACATTTCTCAGTGGAAAGCTTTGAAATCAAAAGCAGCTCAGCCAGTTATGATGCCACAGAAGGAGAACTTGCCTGCTAATAAACAAGACTTGCCCAGGGTTTCATTCAGTTCAGAACCAAAGAGCAGTACTCATAAAAACCAGCAGGAAGAAGAAATTGCAGTTAATGCCAGTCTTTCAAGTTGGCTCACTCCTCCTAGTACTCCCCCTGCAGAGAAGTCAGCTAAGAACGTTTTTGAAGACAGGCCGATTTTAGGTGCTTTGACAGTTGAGGAGCTGAAACAGCAGATTTCATCTTCTCCAAGGCGATCTCCCAGTCCGAGTCCTGTAGATGTTCCCATCATAGGAACTGTTGGGACATACTGGAATTGCTCTGGTGGATCTTTCAAGGATGATGATAATGGTTCTGTATCTTCTTTCAAAGGAATACCAAACACAACCAGCAAGTACAGAGAGGCAAGTAGTGATCAGCTTTTGTGTTGTGGTTACTCTTTTTTTTTAACTGTTTCTTTCTAAGATTCTAAGATAGTCTGATTTTGTTTTCATGGGAATGCTGCAGGATAAGAGAGTTAATTGGCATTCTACTCCGTTCCAGACAAGGCTGGAGAGAGCTTTAAACAGAGGTGCTGCAGAAGCTTAGATTCTTCTGCACCTGTAGCTACAGTGTTGCCCCCTTCATATGAATCTTGTGATTACTATTTCTTCTTTTTTTGATTGCAAGTTCTTGAATTTGTTTCTTGGCAAATTTAAGGATGGCTTGTGTGAATTTGTGTGTATGTTGTAAGCCTACTGCTACATATGGCGATGATGATGTAATTGAAATCTATATTTGTTCGGTGTGTGAAACAAATTATTACTGACCCAAAACAGAATGAAGTGACAAAGTTATGTTCCATGAGTATCAAATAATAAAACTGACGACATCATCAAGAACTAATAATGAATGACAAGCCTCATTGGGGAACCACTTTAGCGCGTTTGGATGCTGGTGAGTCGGGTGATGATGACGAGCCAGAAGTTTCTACTACTACTGTTTCACACTCTCTTTTTTCACTTGTCTGAAGAGGAGAGTTGCTATTCACGGCATTGGCATTGGCCCCATAATCTCCTGTTTTTGCATCGGTCAACTGGGCTGAGGGGTTAGTATCACTCGTGCAAGGTGATCCCTTGTTGCCTCTATCAAGATTTGGCATTGACTTGCACTGCTTTTCAAACATCATCTGCAGATATTTCCCTTGTTCTTCAATCCTCAGCTGCAGATTCCGTTGAATCTGCAGATGTTTTACATGATAATAATAACACAATTGGTAAGGTGATGTCGGGCAGTTTAACAAGAGACCCTAGATTTGCAAACAAAAAGTCCTAAACTAACAATTAGATACTGGCAGAGAGACACAACACTTAGGAAGGGGAGTGATTGTTTTTCATAAAAAGTAAAGAGAACAATTTTAGTGACAAGATATAGTAGGTTCTGCATCTTCTCTTTGGTTTGTGCCAAAATAAGGTTCTTTGCTTTTAAGAAAAGAATTGTGTGATTCAGATTTCTCTCGAAATTTCAACCACAATTTTAGTTTTTTTAAAATAACTGTGTAGATACCATCTTATTTTTGGATGAAATGAGTACCTTTTATTTTGAAAAAATATCTAGTTAATCCACTGCCTTCTTAAGATAAAAAATAACCCATCCCAACTCTCAAGCATACCCTAAGAACCCGTTGATAGAAATCAGATGGCTAAAGTAAAGATTCATACTTCAAGCTGCTCATGGAGCCGCTTTTGCACTTCCATCTGTAACCTCAGCGCTTCAGTGATCTCTATACCCCTGTACCAAACAGCCAGCGCTATGTTCATTTACTTGTTTTATTGTATGAGAAATTTATAGATAATAAATGCAAAAATACAATCATATACTCCTTCAAGTCTCAAAATAAACTTCTCACTTTTTGGTTTTTCTCAAAATAAATTTCTCATTCTTTTAAAGGAAAACATTACATGGTTCACTAATTTGTCTCTCCTTTGTAAAAGGAAACGAGAAGTTTGCTTTGGGACAAAGGAAACAAATTTAAGCAAAAAAAGTTTCGCAAACAAATTCATGTCAACTTACGCTTTCAAGTCCAGAGATGGAAAATCGTCAATACCGGTCTGTTTTTTCTCTGAGGATGCTGCCACAGAAAAGGAAGCAGGAGAGAGGTTTCTTAGGAAGAATGTAAACATAATCTCTGTTAAAAGGATGCTGATGAATAAAAATATGCAAAATGAAGCTGAAGATAAGGAAAAAAAAGCTGCAGGCAAAAGAACTGTAAAATAGACGTATCATGTAGGCATGTAAACATACGCTGATGTCTACCTGAACATGAGTTCTTTTAGGCATTTCACATGTAATAAGAAAGTTATGAAATATAGGAGTGAAATTGAGTGAATGGCTAATATGCTCTTAGGGTCCGTTTGGTACACGGAATTGGAATTGAATTGGAAATTAAAATTCTATGAAATTGATTTGGATGAAATTGAATTCTTCAATTCCAATTCATTTTTGGCTCTACCAAATCCAAATTCACATATTTTTGTGCTACCAAACAGCAGAATTGGTATTGCTCCATAGTTTGAATTCCGTGTACCAAACGGAGCCTTATTATTTAAAGTATTTATTCATACTTCCTTAAAGAGGTTATGAGTAAAAGAATGTGAGAATGTCACCATAGTAATTGAGAGTAGGATGGTAAAACTGGAAAAGGTAATAAATTGTCATTCGAAGTGTATATTGACAGCTCATAAAACAACACATTGATGGCATACCTTCTGAGGAATCAGGCTTATAGCGAGCCGTACGATATTTCTGCAGGTGACTTTTAACATGATAGATTGTCAAATTTTCAACTTTCATTAGTTTCAACACACCCTTGGGAGTAGCTCCTGCAACCCAATGCAAAACTTCAATTAAAAAACTTTTTACTGTTATCATTTAATTAACGTGCTCAGCAAGGAGAAAAGATCACTTTCACTTCCACCAAGCTTGTTAACAGCCTCCACAAATGCTTCATGAAGTTCAGGTGTCCAACGCATGCGCTGCTTTGTAGGAGCACCACTTGCAGTGGATGGTACGGAAACAACAGCTGAGGTTTCTACAGGAAAAGCACCGAGTTGCTGGGATGCATTCGGCTGCTGGGTTTGTAAATCAGAAGATTGTTTTGGCACCTGTAACAACAAATTGAGTAGATAGAAGTGTAAGTGATACGAGTATAACATAAAAAAATTAACAAAAAACAAAGATAAACAATCAGATGAAAACTTTTGTAACAAAACAAAACATCTTTCCAAAACAAAAGCAGTCGAAGCTACAGATACAAAAACACCCGAAAAGGAATATCTTTCTCTAATAAGACAGTTTTTCTCTGAGAGAATCAACTCCATTAAAAAAAAAGTAGAAACAACATATAAGAATGGATATTTAGTGAACCTACATTTGGATCTGAATCCGGAGCACTTGTATGGTCAATGATATCATTCCAATCAGAAGTGAGAGCACCACCATCAGAAATCAGCTGATCAGCCCATTCCTGCCAATCATTGCGTTTACCAAGATCCTCAGAAGTTATGGCACAATCAGCACTGTTACTGCAGTCTAGCTGCTGACTACTTTGCAAAGAGGCATCTGTTGTTGGGTAATATAAAAGATCAACTATTGGATCAGGTGACCAAGGGACAATGTGTTCCTTAGTGTAATGACTCGATGCTGTGGAATGAAGAGCCCTAGAATCGGGCAACAACATCGGCGTCTCGTTATTCGTTGTTGACTGATGAATAAAATGAGGTTGTATTGGGTGGTGATTCTCTAGGGATGAGGAAGATGAAAAATGAAGGTCGCTGGAAAATGCAGATGCTGAAGAAAGCATGAGACCGACAACCCCACTGTTTGATGATAGGGGAGCAAGCTGTTGTGTATCCGGAAACTTGGAGTATTTCACCTCAAGATTCGTTGGAAGAACTGGTAAAGTAGAAGAAGAGAGAGCTCCAGATGCACCGAAGTTACTAAGTTGTCTAGGCCCCACCCTTTGAATGGATAAAGCAGGGTGACCCTCCATTTATGCTTCTTCGCGTAAAAGACAGGTAATTATGACCTTGTTCTTTAGTTTCAATCAACTAAGACAACGCTTCATCATACCTAATTCAAGAAGGATAAAGAATCTTAATACACAAATAGGCAGCAAGCTGATAGCAGTCTGAGAAAACGGCTAAAAGAGTATAGAGGTAATAATGTGCAGTATTACACAGAAATGAATGCAAGGAACCACATTTAATATTGCAATTTTAGATATAGAGTAGCCAAAAGTGTCTCTCTTTCCTCTCTCTACATAAAAAACCCGAAAGATAATAACTGAAAGCTAGGGTTTTAGCCATATATAAACATGGAATTGCCCAAATTTCCCTTTTTCAACACAACATGGTTTATCTTATATCTTTGGTTCTTAAACTGAACTACCCTAGTGTAAGTTTATATCATAAGGGAACAAAAAAGGGCACCCCAACAACCCCACACACAAATCTGATATAGAGCAACATAGACAAAATCTAGCCCCATCACTGTGCTTTGAGCCATTATTATCATTACATTTATCATTCATTAATTACATCAAAAAAAATCATCATTAAAAAAAAGATTTGCCCAATTCACTACCTCAATGCAACAGCAAAACAACAAAGCTTCGATTTTGCATCAAATAAAGAGATGGAAAAAGACCAAATATTGCCGAAACGTTTTACAGAGAGAGAGAGAGAGAAAAACGCAGAAATTGAGCAAACCGAATTGAAATCAACAAGAAGGGATGCATCCCAGTACGATGCGCACAAACAAGGACGAAATTGAAGGCGCGGGTTTTACCTTGGTTCCGTCGCCGGCGTAGCGGGGAGAATTGAACGGCGACGAGCTCGACTGGTTCGCCTGTTTTTAAGGCCTTTGGTTCTTGACACTTCTGCGTTCAATCCATCATCTTCATCATTAGATGATTGTTCGTCAGCCCACGCGCGGGGCGGAGCTCGTTGGGAATATTTGAGCTCGTTGGTCCCACCTCACCACTAGATGGGAAATTGGAAATTGGACACTAACAATTTCATTATAAAAATCCTTTTTCTAAACTCCCTCTATTAAGGCTCGTTTGACATTAGTGTTAGAGATAGTGTTAACATTTTAAAAAGACTACTTGGCTGTAGTCTTTATAGTGTTTTCGGAATTAATATACATCGTTAAAATTTTATTAAAACGCTAACGCTAATTGAAAACGTTCTTCCCAGACAAGGTCTTAATCTTAATGATGTTATTGGGAAAATGTCCAAGCACATATTAGGCCCGTTTGGCAGGCCCATAACATTGCAGATATCCAACCCACGTCGACCAAGTAAGAGTATGGGCAGCCGCATGGATAGATGGCTAAGTCCGGCCAGAGTGCCACATCCCGACCATGCTCCGAGTCCGGCTGGTATACCCGGACCAGAGTACCATGCCCCGAGCCTGAGTAGTATATCCTAACCTGAGTATCATGCCCCGAGCCCGAGTGGTATGTCCCGACTAGAGTGGCACTTTGGCTAGAGTGGTATATCCCGAGCCCGAGGAGCATACCAACCAGAGCGATGGACAGACAGCGAGTCTGACTTAAGGACTAGGAAGAATAATTATTCGGCCCACTTCATGGCACATTAGGGCTGCCAAACCCTAATTGCCCTAGTATAAATAGAACGAATGATGTGTTTTTTCTCATGGCTTCTAGCCCATATGTAACACCAAACAATACATGAATAAAGAAGACTTTGACTTGGCTGGACTCGTGGTTTTCTCCCAGATTCAGGTTTCACGTAAAAATCGTTATTCATATTTTCCTATATTCTTCTCCAAACTCACATATAAATCCGTGATACTTTGGGCCTTTTGACGGTGTTGAATCTCTAAAAACCCAAAGCTATTAACTCCAATAGATATGTTGTGATTTTTTAGATAATTGAAAAACAAATGAATAATCTACATTTTATGTCGATGTTCATTCACTTCTAATGATCAGTTAATGTCAAATAGAAGAAGTATCATCCTAAAAACTCTTTACCTTAATTAAAAAACACTTTTTACTCATATCTTGATTGATGTAACCGAATAATTTTCTCACGCACAAATATCACAGTAAAAATTGTTCAAGCAGTGAAAATGGTACACTGGTGAAAGTTTTATACTCTTTCCGTCCACAAATAAACTTCCCGTTGCGCATTACAATGTTTTACAGAAGTTATTTTCAAATAATTTTAATTGAAAAATTGTGTAAAATTTAAAAATAAAAATTACATATTAATCCCTCCGTCTCGATTTATAGTGTCTGTTTCAGTTTACGATGTTTGATTGAAATTATTTTCAAATCATTTTAAATGACAAATGGTATAGAGTTAAAAAAATAAAAATTATATATTAAAATACTACATCAAAAAATCTACAAAACTAGTAGTGACAATAATACTTTATTTTATCAAATTGCTAACGAAAATAGAGAAAGAAAGTGAATGAAATTTGACTCTGTGAATGGTGAACATACACTATAAATTGGAATGGAGGAAGAAAAAATTTATATCAAAAAATCTACAAAACTAGAGGTGACATGACTATATTATTTTAACATATACGTGACAAAAATAAGCCAACAAAATGAATAAAGTTTGTGGGCGGAGAGAGTATTCAACATACATTTTAGATCAATAGAGTCAACTATGAGTATGCACCAGTCTAAAACAACTAAACAAGACTGGACTGAACCGAAACCAGTTTAGACTGGAACCTGGTCTAGAAGTACCACAATTAAGCACCATTAATGCATTGATGGATCTCACAAACAACACAAGACTTGCATTTCCAGTACATTTACTAGCAAGATGCACCTCAAACTCAACACGTAGTGGTTGGAATAAAACAAGCCACATTACAATGTATTTGCCAGAAACAAGACTTAGGTTTCTTCTACTAGAAAGACAAAGAATCACAACTTTTTGGTCATGCTAATGTTGGATACAAGTGAGATCCATATAAACCACAATCTGAAACACATCACATGTTTATATACAATAGTAAAGAAATAGACAACAAAAGAAAGCAGAGTGGGCTGGGCAAAGAGAAGAGTGGTTTTAGACACAGCCCCAAAAAAAACATGCTTCTGTTTCCACACCTCCCTATAGTTTCCTCTTCTAAAAGCCTAACACCTCACCAGCAAATATATTTTTGGATACCAACTTATGTACCAATGGTTCCATCCATAAAAGCACATAGTTTTAGGTTTTCACACAAACAGCTACACCTAAAACTTATGATCTAAATATTACTAGTATGGTTCATAAAATCTACCATTTGACAAGTTCACAAATTCATTACCACATTGTAAATATCATATGGGCTAATTTTGAAACACAATGAACTAAAAAAGCAAGGTTCCACAAAACAAGTGAACACAGCTTCTGAGTTTCACATAAACCCTGATAACAAAGCAAATCAAACAGTGCTAAAGGCAAAACTGCAACATTCTGAGTTTCATAACAAAAAAACCACTTATAAGATAACAATCGCATCTAAACGATAGCATTTGCAGCACTGGCAATCCTAGGCCAAAGATCAGCACATTCCTTCCCAATAGGCCCTGTAATGGCACTTCCTACAAATATACAGAGACCATAGGTTCAGTCAAATCTATTCCTAGTAATTAATGGTATAACGCTTTAAAAAAATAATCATTAGTTAGTGTATCATTTGGAGAACATTTAATCAACAGTGAACTAAAATTAGCAATGCTCACAATTGAAGTGAATCTCCAATGAAATTTTATAACCTAGTGGACTACACATGGAATATCTTCATCACTAAAAAACCATTTGCAGAATTCTCTTTTAATTTAAACAAGGTACAATGTTAGATTCAATTAAATACTGTGTATATTCCAAATATTTACCTTATATGGCACTAATAAACCTGCTTCTAATTATTTTTCAGTTCTGCATTTAATTTCCAAACAATTGAAAAACAAAAAAAACTCAATTTTATAGATTATGAAACCAGTCAGGGACATAAAATCTAATGAAATAGCCAAATAGAATGACTATTTTTTTCATGGCAAGTAGGGGTATTTTGGAGATCAATCTATTTGGATGCTATGAATGGAGTGAGTTTTACCTTTCATTTCTCCTTTAGGATTCACTATGACACCAGCATTGTCTGCACAAACAGAGATTTCATGGATCAGTTATATAAGAACCATTTAGATGGTAGCAAATTATATGTTTACATCGATCCATTCATTCAAAGACTATACCTTCGAAGTACATGAAGACTCCATCCTTTCGGCGGAAGGGTTTGCGCTGGCGAACGATGACGGCGGGCATGACCTTCTTACGGAGATCGGGTTTCCCCTTCTTCACTGTGGCCATTACCATGTCTCCCACGCAAGCAGACGGCAACCTATTGAGGCGACCCTTGATTCCCTTCACTGAAATGATATACAGGTTCTTCGCCCCCGTGTTGTCGGCACAGTTCACCGTCGCCGCCACCGGCAGACCCAGCGACATCCGGAACTTGTTCCCGGCGGAACCTCCGCGCCCTAAAATTACATATTCCGCCCAATTATTAATCAAAAGTATAATATGGACCTGAAAAAATACGGAGAAATGAATGTATCGAACGAAATTGACTCAGTTTACCTCGCTTCGACATTGTTAAGCTTCTCTCCTCTGCTCCGCCGATCCGACTGGAAGGAGAGGTAAGCTGCTAGGGTTTTATATGGCGGGCTCTAGGGTTCGAGTGAAATTACTTAATTGGGTCTGGACTGAAGAGAATAGGATGTATTAAACCAAGTTTTTCTTTTTTGGGCCAGTTTCGCAAATGAGTCCAATAAGACTGGAAATGACTTAAATACCCCGCCACGAGACTTGAAATAACTACCGGGCCATCGGCCTAGCTACAGTTACAGGCGATGTGCTCCGCTGCTTTTCCGCTTCCCGGCCACGTTTTCTCCCCCGCCGCCGTCGGCGTCGAGAAGCGTCGAAATGGTGGCGTAGCTCTAAGAACAAGGTCCAGGATCCTTTGCGGCTTTCCTAGAATTTCCGGCGAACGGGAAAACTCAACTCCTAGCACTAGCGTCGCCGCCGGCATCGCTAAGTTTCTATGGGGAAACTCCCTGCCGCCGCAGCTCCTCGTCTCCACCGTCCGTTCCGCGTGGTCCACCGCCTGGCAAATCATGATGTCCCAGCTCGCGCCGTCGGATCCGTCCGGCGGCTACGCCCGACCCGCCTCCCAATTCCGCATCCACAGTCCAAATTCACCCGCGACCGCGACGCAATACTCCGGCGGAAACATCCACTTGTATGTGGGCATCCCTTGCCCTTGGGCCCACAGAACCCTAATTGTCCGAGCCCTGAAAGGTCTGGAAGATGCCATTCCCGTTTCAATTGCAACCCCCGGCGCCGACGGATCTTGGGAATTCCGGCATACCCCTGTCCAGGAGACGACGGATAAGCTTCTCCCGACTCCAGACAAAGCCAACGGTCTCAAAACCCTCAGGGAAGTTTACAAGTCCGGCAGCGGCAGCTATAACGGCCGGTCAACGGTCCCTATGCTCTGGGATTCAAACAGAAAAACAGTTTTTTGCAACGAGAGCTACGACATCATAGAATTCTTCAATTCCGGGTTAAACGGCATAGCAAAGAATCCAAAATTAGATCTTTCTCCCCCAGCACTTAGAGATCAGATCACCCAATGGAACCAGATCATATACCCCAATGTCAACAATGGCGTTTATCGGTAAATTTTATGCAGATCATAAATATAATGAGCAGATTTACGCGATTGAATTTCTCAAGAACTTGTTTGGATAACATTAGGTGTGGATTTGCCCAAAGTCAAGAAGCTTATGATAGAGCTGTGAATGAGCTGTTCAAGACATTAGACATGATTGATGATCATTTGGGGAGGTCAAGGTTTCTGTGTGGTGATGTCTTGACACTCTCCGATGTCTGCTTCTTCACAACCTTGATCAGATTTGACCTTGTTTACAATGTCCTCTTCAAGTGTTCTAAGAAGAAGATCATAGAGTACCCCAACCTCCATGGGTACATGACAGACATTTATCAGGTAAAGCAAGAACGGAGGAATTGTTCCCTCCATTGCTAATGAAGCCTAAAAGAGTAATCTTTGACAAAATTGGGATTATACTACATTGTTGTTGTTGTTGGTGCAGATACCTAAGGTTGCAGGGACTTGTAACATGGAAGCTATAATGGATGGATACTACAAGACTCTTTTCCCACTGAATCCTAGTGGCATTCGGCCTATTATGCCATCCGACTACGAGAATGATGTGCTGTTGAAGAAACCTCACAACATGACCAGCTTGTCTAGGAATGTTCGCAGCTCTGTCTCGTGAAACCAGATGGTTCGAATTCTTTTTTCTGGAGGTGTCGCTCTCATATAACGGTACAAATTCATAACATAAACTCGCATCGCATCATGTAGTGCAAGAAGTTATAGGGACATAAGATAACATCAGATATGCTGACCCTTAAGTTAGGGGGGTGTCTTAGTTTGGAAGGGTATGGAGGGAGGGGAAAGGGGAGAAATGAGAAGGCATTGGTGGCGCGGGGAGGGGACAATCTTGGACTCATCTCGACCTCGACCATCGACATCTTGAGACTAATGGTGTGTTTGGTTTGGATTCATGAAAACATTGTTTTCTTGATTTTAGAATGGGGTGTTTCTGAATGAGGTTATCCTGGTATTCAGAATATAAAATGACATTTGTTGTTGTGTATTTAGTTGGTAGTTTAAGAATTAGATTCTTTAAGGTTAATGGAACTAATTCCAAACTAATTGTCTAGAATCTAATTCTGAGATTCTGAAACATGTATGATTTGGTTTTTGAACTGATGAAACAAATGTAACATTATGTTGATTTTGGAATTAGACTTGATAAAGTTGAAATAGTTTTGTACTCAGAAACCATTTTTGCATCCTGTTCACTTGGGAGTTCAAACCATGATGAATTGATGATACTACTAAAATATTGAATTTAAATATTTCTCTACTTCAACTCAACTATTCTATCATTTCCGGTGGAGTCGGGAGAATGATGTAATAAAGCATAATGTCTCGTAACTATCTGCCCTTCTTTCAATAATGAAATAGCAGTTAGTCAATGCAACTTTCGACACTCATCCTGAGCCATCTGAAAATATAGGAGTCAAATATACTTCAACTCAATTCGTTAACATAGTCTCTTTTTTCAACATATTTCTCTTTTTGAATAAACTATAATTATTCATTTTTCAGCATTAAATACTTTTCTTAAATCATTTAAAGTCAAATAGTAACTTTAAATTAGAGACAAATAGAGTATATTTTCACAACATCTCAAAATGAAAATTATGAATTTATGGTGTAATTTTTTTTTATGACTAACAAACTCCATTGCTAGGTAATATTTATTGATACCTTCTTAATCTATTGTAACTTGAAGAGTCATGCCTTGCTTGGTTTTGAAGAGAGTTATAACGGAACCACTAGACCACGGGGTATTTTGGCATGGTGTAATGGTGTCAGTTTTCTTATCAGCTCTTTACTATATTGCCAAACAAGGGTGTGAGGGCGCATATGATAGACATTCCGTCTTTTACAACAAGGGGAATGAGGATGTGTTTAGCAGAAATTCCAACGCTTAAATTTCATATTTTAAAAACTTTATTTAATAACAACATTTAGACAAACATAATCTACATCATTAAAAAGTCATGTAAATTTTTTTTTTTGACAAAAAAAAAAGAAGAAGAATGTATTGAAAAGTGAAAGGTACATTCTCAAACAAGGCCTGAGTTGGTTGGTGCCATTGCTAGCCCACTACCAACCTTTTCGATAGGAAGCGCCACATACACAACGGACACTGGACTTTTCCATAAAGTCCGTAATTGTTGTCAAATGACGCGTTAAGCTTGGTCAAAAGGTTAATTGTATAGTGTACTACTACTAACAATTTACCCCGCTTTTTTCACCCCTCAAAATATTATTTACTACCTACGGAGTAGTATATGTTTATACCCACCCGTCCTAGGTGATTTTCGTAGTGATAAATGACTCAAAATAGGGGTGTTCAAAAATATCCGATCCGAAATATCCGTCCACGATCCGGGCCGATCCGATCCGAAAAATGGATATCCGATCCGATATTTTAGCTTTTAGATATTTCGGATCGGATACCCGAAAAAAATCGGATCGGATATGGATTCAATTTCTGGAATTTTTCGGATAATCGGATATCCGATTTTTTTTTTTGCTATATGTTTTTGGAATTTTATGGATATATATTATGACTATATATTTAAATGTAATTTTATGTTGATTTTGGAAATCAACCATTTTGGACTTTTTACATTAGCATTTTAGAATCTTTTGTTTTAATAGTGTTTTTTTTGTTTGTTTAGGGAAAATTACCAAAGTTACTCCCAAATTAAATTTGGTATCATTTTTTATTAGGCCATTACCTAGTGGTGGAATTTTTCTTTTAGTAAATATATATTAAATTTGATATTTTGGGTTGATTTTGCTATTTTACCTTTTTTTTGTAAATTTTGGCTAAAAACTCAACTTTTCGGATAATCCAGTGATCCGATCCGAAAAATCGGATATCCGAATATTTTCGGATCGGATATGGAATGAGTTTTACGTGATCCGAAATTTTCAGATATCCGAATTTTCGGATCAGATCGGATCGATCCGATTGAACACCCCTAACTCAAAATGCTACCTACCTTAACACATTTATTCTTCATCCCTCCCTCAATGAACTTTATGTTTTGCTTTTCTTTTGAGGTTTTTTTTTGTTAATTAGACTTACAATATTTCATGAATAATATTTTTTCATATTTAGAATTAGTTTTCTATTTTCAAAAAACTCTTATTTAAAAAATGAATTAAAATGTCCAAAAAGTCCTTGATACTCTATAATATTTTAAATGATTTACGGTATCAGTTTTTATTGAATATTAAAAGTGGACAATTAATGTGAGACGAATGAAAATGAGAATGTGTACTGTTGAATTCGGAACAAGAATATAATTTTATTAAAAAAAATCTTGACCAATTTGGGTCAATTTTTATTTTTTGATACTACGTATTTTATCATAGAGTTTACTACATAAAAGATTTATTGTCAAAGATTGGCGTGGAAGACCGTAAAAAATGAATTACTACATTTTTACCCTTTTGTAAGTAATCAAAAGCTCCTAATGATCATTTTGCTTTCCAGGCTTGCAAGAAGACTCATTGTTGCATTTTCTTCATATGTGATGCTCAAGCTACCATCTCCTTCTTCCTTTATATCGATTCTCCAACTCCATCATGGTAGCGAAACTCGCGAAAGCGACGCCGATCCGACGCGGATTCACGTGCTTCGCCGTTCTCTCCGTCATCGTCCGCCTCGTTACTGCGGGGTCCACCGACTTCATCTTCAGCGGGTGTGCAGTGTATAGACCCCAGCCTGAGTCAGAGGGCCGCAGCGGAGATTTCTCCGCGACGACCCTCCAAACCCTATTCGAAACCCTGAAATCCAGGGCCTCGACAGGGAATTTCAGCAGGACGAGCCTGGGGCCCGTCTCCGGTCTCTTCCAGTGCAGGGGCGACCTCTGGTCGCCCTCAGACTGCAGAGACTGCGTGGCGGAAGCCACAAAACAAGTCAAGAGGCGGTGCAGAGCCGCCAACCCGCCCGCCGCCAGGATCCAGCTTCAAGGGTGCTACCTAAGCTACGAGGTCGCCGGCGGGGGGCCCGCGAACCGCGACCCGTCCGGGATGGTCTACCACCGGTGCGGTCCGGAGATGCCGTCCGTCAACTCGACCAGGAGCGGGTTCGGGTTCGGGGCGAGCCCGGGCGTGGAGGCGATCCATATGTCGGTGAACCGGATGGTGAACGGGTTCTTCGCCGGATACGTCTCCACGGGCAACGGGTCGGTGATGGTGGCGGCCCAGTGCGAAGGGGACATGGCCGGCGACAAATGTAAGGGGTGTGTGAGTTCTGCGGCGGAGAGTTTGAAAAGCAGTTGTGGTTCGGCTTCTGTTTCCGGGGAAATGTATTTTGAAAAGTGCTACGTCACCTACAATCTTAACGGCTACACAGATGGCTCCCCATCCTCCTCAGGTTCCTATTCAAATTTATTCTCTATTCTTTTTCTATTTGAGATGACGATGCTTGATTAAAGTTTTTTTAAATTTAATTTTATTGTTGCGGGTTACGAATCAGACATGACAAATTTTAATGAAATATTTGCACTAAATAGCACTAAATTTCTCAATTTTAATTGCCAATTACTTGAGGGTTACTCCTTCTGTCTAAAGTGTTTATTCAATTTAACTTTTACTGAGTTTACTAAATCAAGTTGGACAAATTTTGATCAACAATTACAATAAAAATACGTTGAATATTGCATGTTAATACATTGTACTCTATAATACATTTTTGATAGTTTTCCGCAATATAATTGTAATGAAATTATTTTTGTACTAATATTCAATATATTTTTTTTTTAATTTGAAGATCAAATTAAAGTTTGTGCAATATATTCGTGTTCCATTAACAGAGCTCGTGCCAGTCATACATTGCAAAGTGAGACAGAAACCTTATTTTTGGGCGAAATGAATAAATAAATGTTTAATTTATTTTTTTGTGAAAACATATACGGAACATTATATTATATTCCGTATATGATATATTGCATGTTGAGTATATATTGAGTATATGTTTGTGTGGCGCCATGCAGGGGAACCTTTTCTTAATGTAACATCCAAGAGTGTGGCAATTCTCATTGGGTTCTTGTTTGGCTGCATTATGGTATCAGTGGTCGTATTATACTTTATGTCTTTATCCAAGAAGGACCCGTTCGTCCAAAAGTATTAATTCCAGGCAAGTACTCACACACAGTGTTTCTTTTTATTTATTATAAATAATTGACTTATAAGCTGATTTAAAAAATTACATTTTAGACCAGTTTTTTCGTTTTTTCTTTTTACCAAATCATTTACGGAGTACAAAAGTATTTCAATAAACAGCTTAAAAATTAAAAGTTATTTATCAGCGATAAGTTAATAAATATCCGTGAAAAAAATTATTGTCACTCGAATTGGGATATAATGTTGTATTATGTTATTTGTTTTGGGATTCAAGTTGGTCACTAAATTTCAGCCTCACAAAATTGTAGAGCAGAAGCAATCTCAACGAGTCAAGGTGGACAAGGAAAAAACAAAGGGAAGAATTGTGTGATGAATTGTGTGATCTATATTATTTTCTCTGTATAAATTTTTTTTTCCTTCTAAAAGTTCGTGTAATTATCACATAGAAAGATGATTTTGAGACAGAATGAAGTACGGAGTATTATTTATCATTAGGAGTTACAGATATAGTAATTAATTACTACGAGTATTTCCCTTCGAGTATTTTTGTCTAGTTTGACATTATCGTATCAAACTGGATACATTTTAAGCTTCTATTAATCTTAAGAGTAAATTCTATAATTGGTTCTTTATAACAGAGGGTTTCCATATTTAGTCCTCTATTATCAAATATTACCTCCGTAGTCCTTTTTTTAAGGGTGTCTTTCCACAAATGGTCCTTTTTTTGATCTTTTGCCATGTTGGTGTTAATTTAAAGATTAAAAGTATAATTTGACATCAACATTATGTCTAGTGACATGTTCTGATATTGGTTAAGCGGATAACACAAAAATAATGACTATGATTGTGAGCTAGGATTCCAACGAAAGACCACATTTGTAGACTATGTTTGTAGTAGAAAGCGACTGTAATTTACAAACGACGCAAACGAAACAGCCTTTGAAATTGTGTATGACAAAAAAGATATATTATCATTGTTAAATTACACTTTTAGCCCTCAAATTAACACCAACATGATAGAAGATTAAAAAAGGACTATTTGTGGAAAGATACCCATAAAAGAAGGACCACTGGGGTAATATTTGATAATAAAGGACTAAATAGTGAAACCCCCCTGTTATAAAGGACTAATTATGAAATTTACTCTAATCTTAATTTGTATTATATATTAGTACAATAAAATAAATTTTTTGAAAATTTTCAATAAGAATTCTCTGATAAAACTATTTTCACACTAATATACATTACAATTTTTGTTTATTTGAAACTCAAGTTCACTATGCCTTTAAAAAATCAAACTAGACAAATATACTAAAACGGAAACAGTGCTCCTTCGTGTTCTTGTGCCAATACTTCAATATTGTTGTTTCACTCATTTGAGTTAAAATAGATTTTCAAATATTGCGCCACATTATCACGATACGGAATTCTTATTTTTGGAGATTAAAAAATACAAGTTCTATTTTGTTATTTTTTTCATATTTTGTTACGAGGCGGTCGTCACAGCCGCGAAGTAGTTGCCTAGGGTTGATGCACGGAGGAAATTAAAGGGAGAGAGAAGACTTCTAATCTAACTATTCTATTCTTTTATTGCTTACCATGCCTTTAAGTCGTAGAACATATTTATAGTGAATAGAAACCCTAATCCTACCCTGTCGGTTCAAGAAAGGCGTCAAGGGAAAGAACCGAAAAGAAAACCCTTGAAGGAGCTTATATTTCCGCTCACCTAATAAAATCTAGAGTACAAATAAAAATGAAGGATGAATACAAAAATATTTATTAGCGACAAATATAATCCTTGTATCGTTGGGGTGGCCCAACGATCCTTCGGGAACGTCGTACCGCCGTAGGTGCGAGAGGGTCATCCTGTTCTGCATGGGACTCGTCTGGTGGGCGCACCCGACCCGTATCAACTCCCCCGCCGTTGGAAACCGCCTTGTCCTCAAGGCGTAGCGTGGGAAAATGTTCATGCAGCATGTGTACCGGCTCCCAAGTGTCATCAGATCCCTCGGACCAGCGAATCAGCCATTGTTCTTGCGGTGCACCATCAACGACTACCGTCCGACGTCGTAGTGCTGCCAAGGGAACTGACAGGGGGCGATTTTGGATAAATTCCGTTGGCCAAGTCGGTTGTGGAGTTCCTGTGCCACGAGCTATGAATGGCCGGAGTAGGGATACGTGAAAAACATCATGGACACGACACCCTTCTGGCAAACGGAGACGATAAGCGACTGGCCCCACCCGTTCCACGATTTCAAAAGGGCCATAGTAACGACGGGCAAGTTTCGCAGACTTAGGGCGCGCCACGGAGTGTTGGCGATACGGCTGGAGTTTGAGGAGTACCATGTCCCCCACGTTAAAGGACACATCGCGCCGGTGGGAATTTACCCGATCCCTCATTCGTTGTTGTACCTTGCGAAGATTGATCTTTAATTCTTCCAAAACAGCCGCCCGCTCAATCAACAATTGTTCAACAGCCGGCACCCGCGAGCGGACGGATAAAGTGGCGAACAGATTCGGCGGCTCCCGCCCATAAAGTGCCTGGAAGGGGGAGAGTTTGAGGCCCTCATGGTAGCTGCAGTTCAGTGCTAACTCAGCCCAAGGGAGAAGCGTCGACCATTTCACCGGTCTGTCAAAAGTGAACGCTCGGAGGTACTGTTCGAGCCCTCTATTCATGACTTCTGTTTGGCCGTCAGTCTGGGGGTGATACGACGTACTAAATTTCAAGTGAGTTCCACTGAGTTTAAACAACTCCTTCCAGAAAAGGCTCATAAAAACCGAGTCCCGATCCGAGATGATATCCAACGGAAATCCATGGTGTTTGACAATCATATCAAGAAAGAGGGCCGCGACCCTGGGTGCATCAAAATCCGTGGGTAATGGTCCGAAGTGACAATATTTAGACAGCCAATCCACCACGACTAAAATCACAGTGTACCCACGCGATGGGGGCAGGCCGGTAATAAAGTCCATTGAAGCGGAATCCCATACCCGATCCGGGATAGGTAATGGCTGGAGAAGTCCCGCTGGCCGCTGCGTTGAATATTTAGTAGCCTGACAAGGTACACACGCCGCAATAAAAGCTCGCACATCCTTCCGCATGCATGGCCAGTAAAACACCGCTGCTAGACGCCGAAAGGTGCGATCGACTCCTTGATGACCCGCGAGTGGGGTGCTGTGAAACTCGGCCAGTAGCTGGTCCCGGAGGAAAGAATCCGGGCTAATATAAATCCGCCGTTTGAAATAGAGAATTTCGTCGTGGGTGTCAAACCCCGGCGCTGCCGTACCCGCTGCCACACTATCCTTTAAAGTCAAAACATCCGGCTTGGTCTGATGCTCAGCACGCATGGCCTCCATGAGAAGAGGTACTGGCTGAGACAAAGCTGCAAAACAGCCTCCTGGATCTTCGTCAGTATCGCGCCGAGATAGGGCGTCCGCCGCCTTATTAGATGCCCCGGATTTGTATTCAATACGGAATTTGAAGCCCATGAGTTTACGGATGTAGAATTGTTGATCCGGCGTTTGAATAACTTGCAACAATAAGTCCTTGAAGCTACGGTGGTCGGTGCGAATCACAAATTCCCGACCAAGCAAATATTGACGCCATTTTTGCACCGACTCCACAATGGCGTATAACTTCTTGTGATACGTTGAAGCGGCTTGCCGGCGCGGCCCAAATTCCTTGCTAAAGAAGGCCAACGGGTGACCATCTTGGAGTAGGACCGCCCCAACCCCGAAGTCAGAGGCATCCGTTTCAAGGTAAAATGTGCGACTGAAATCCAGAAATCGAAGGACTGGTGCAGACACCATGGCCGTCTTGAGGCGCTGCAAACTATCCTCCGCCGCTTGTGTCCACTAGAAATTATCTTTCTTGAGTAGTTCGGTGAGGTGGGGCAGCGATGGTGGCATATCCTGCGATGAACCGCCGGTAGTACCCTGTGAGACCCAAAAAGCCGCGTAGCTGGGTCACGGTTTTGGGTCGAGGCCAATTCACCATAGCGGAGATCTTTGCCGGATCAGCTTTGAGGTGCCCTTCGGTTACTATATGCCCCAAGTAATCAATTGTTGTACGGCAGAAAGAACACTTAGATAATTTCACAAAGAAAGAGTGAGCGCGGAGCACCCCCAAGGTGGTATTGAGATGGTCCGCATGAGACGCCATATCCGTGCTATAAATAAGGATGTCGTCGAAAAAGACGATGATAAACTTACGGAGGTAGACACAGAACAGCTGGTTCATTGTAGCCTGAAAGGTGGATGGAGCATTCGTTAGGCCAAAAGGCATCACTAAAAATTCATAGTGGCCCTCATGCGTGCGAAACGCTGTTTTAAATGTGTCCGCCTCGTGCATCCGAATTTGGTGGTACCCGGTGCGGAGATCCAACTTAGTGAAAATGCGTGCAGCACCCAACTCGTCAAAAAGTTCATCGATGGTGGGAATGGGGAAATGATCAGGGATTGTTGCCGCGTTCAATGCCCGATAATCAATACAGAAACGAAACGTGCCATCTTTCATGCGGACTAAGAGGACCGGGGAGGAGAACGGACTCTGACTAGGCCGAATTATACCCTGTTGCAGCATATCCCGAATTTGACGTTCAATCTCTGTCTTTTGGAAATATGGGTAACGATACGGCCGCACGTTTATGGGTTTCGTGTTGGGTTCCAAATGAATGCGGTGGTCCCAATCTCGACAGGGTGGCAGTGACATAGGCACTGCGAAGACGTCCGCATGCTTGGTGAGGATGGCTGTGATCTCAGCGGCCACATCGGAAGGAAACTCCAGCCATGGAGCATGCACCGGTTGGGCTGCGATGGTGGGCAGTGTCTCATAAAATTCCAGTGGTTGTTGTTGCGCCGTCACCAAGAGACAAAGAGAACCATAAGAGATAGGACGGGGGTAGGGTGTGTCACCCCGTAGCTGGACCACCTTCCCTTGCCAGGTGAATTCCATTGTTAAATTAGCGTAGTCGTGGGACACCTTGCCGAGAGTCTGAAGCCATTGGACGCCGAGCACAACCTCCGGCCCATGGATTTCCAGCAAGTAGAGGTCCACGTCAAACACATGGCCTTGCAAAGTGATAGAGGTTTGAGGACATGAATAAGCACACCGTAGAGACTCCCCGTTGCCGACGTACACCTGAAAGGGTGTCACCGGGTGAAGAACCAAAGAGAGCCTTTCTGCCACTGCCGGATGAATAAAGTTATGTGTGCTACCACTGTCCAACAGGATGTGGACGGAGGAGTTCTGAATAGTGCCGGAGAGACGGAGGGACCGAGGATTTGGGCTCCCTGCTAGAGAATGCATACTTGAGATATCACCCGTAATCACCATGTCATCCGTGAGGGTGTGATCAGCAAGGTCCTCGACGGCTGTAGTGTCCTCCTCATCTGGTCCCATGAGAGCAAGGAACCGGTGCTTGCACTGATGAGTCGGCCCCCACTTTCCATCGCAGTACCAACAGAGCCCCTTTTTTCCGCGCTCCGCTTTTTCGGCGTTGGTCAGCCGCACAATAGGTAAAGAATTGACAGGGCGGTTGTCTTGTGGTTTGGTTGCATGTGGAACCAACGGAATAGGAGAAGATGCAGAAGGATTTGCCGTGGGTGGGGCGCTGGCCGACCTAGGGGCAGACCAGAAACGGCGTCCCGACGATCCAGACGCGGCATGTGTGTCTTGATAGCTAGCCGCCAATTCTCTCGCCAAGGCAAAAGCTTCCTGTAACGTGCCTAGCGTTCGGAGATTTACTTCCCGCTGGACGGGTTGCTTGAGACCGGCAACATACATGGCGACGAGGGTTGGTTCGGGCACTCCGGATACTTTGTTCAAGATTGTTTCGAAAGAAGACTGATACTCCATGACAGTGGTAGTTTGGTGGAGTTTGGAAAGCAACCCAATATAGTTTTCATAATAATCGGGATCGAACCTTTGGCGGACCGCAACCAAGAATGCCGTCCATGAAGCGTTGCAGTTATTTGCCTGATAATAACGAAACCATTCCGACGCGGGGTGGTCGATGAGCATGGCCACCAAGTGTAGACGCTCGGCCTCCGGTGTGAGAAAATAATCGAAGTACTTTTGAATACGAAAAACCCACCCAACCGGGTCCTCGCCATAGAAACGGGGAGCGTCGATGCGCATGCGAGGTATGGGTTCGGCCGTGGCCGGGGATTGAGATGTGTGAGAAGGAGGTGGCCGCCAAGGAGCAAACGGTGGCCGGTAAGGGGGAGGGCGCCGTACGTCGTCGTGCAAGGGTTGCTGCCCAGCCGCCAGAATCTCTGTCATACGGCCTTTGGTGGCCTCTAATTCCTTGGCAAGGTGAGCTTTTGTAGTTTCCAATTCCTTCCCCAAGTTGTGTATTGCTCGCATGAGGTCATCCATGGTGAGGGCAGAGCTGGCCGCTTGTTCGCTGGGTGTAGGGGTTGGAGTAGACATGAGATCGCAATGAGAGCACCAGATGTTACGAGGCGGTCGTCACAACCGCGAAGTAGTTGCCTAGGGTTGACGCACGAAGGAAATTAAAGGGAGAGAGAAGACTTCTAATCTAACTATTCTATTCTTTTATTGCTTACCATGCCTTTAAGTCGTAGAACATATTTATAGTGAATAGAAACCCTAATCCTACCCTGTCGGTTCAAGAAAGGCGTCAAGGGAAAGAACCGAAAAGAAAACCCCTGAATGAGCTTATATTTCCGCTCACCTAATAAAATCTAGAGTACAAATAAAAATGAAGGATGAATACAAAAATATTTATTAGCGACAAATATAATCCTTGTATCGTTGGGGTGGCCCAACGATCCTTCGGGAACGTCGTACCGCCGTAGGTGTGAGAGGGTCATCCTGTTCTGCATGGGACTCGTCTGGTGGGCGCACCCGACCCGTATCATATTTTACTTCTATTTAAGGCAATTTATTTTTTCTAAAGAATTGATCCTTCTAGTAGAAAATTTGCAATGAATATGCCACGACAAATAAAATGTGATGGAGAAATTGGTACTTTTTTGCTCTTTTTTCCCCTCAATAAGTCAATATCCCCTTCTTTCTTGTTCATGGCCACCATTTCTTCTTCGTTTTTGTAAGAGCCTCTTTTTGTTTTTAAATTTTTTTAGTTTTTTGACTTTTAACCTTTTTTTATTTGTGCCTTTTTTAATTGGTAATGTTTTTTCTTAGATTTTTTTAATGTTAGCTCAACTTATTTTTTATCTTCTCAATTTCATTTTAATTTTAATGTTAAAGAATAATTTATTTTGTATTTTAAGTAAAATTTGGATTTAAATAAATGAAAAATTGGGTGTGATCCACACCCCTATCTCGTGATGGGATAGAGAAAAACTTACGTGACACCGAGTGACGTTGAGTAAGATGACGTGATGGGCGTGCTGACGTAAAGTCGTAAACCACACCTATCAACATTAGTACGTGGATAAGCATTAAAAAAATTACTTCGTAATAAAATTATACTCTCTGCGTTCCAAAAAAACTCATTACTATCTCTACTTCCGAGTATTTGTTTAATTTTGATTTTTTTCTATAAATCATTTTTAATCTTTGACCTATATTAATTAGATAAATCAATATTTTGAAAATTTTAATATAATAAATCTATAAAAAAAAGTCTAAAGTGGATAAATATACAAGCAAAGAGGGAGTAATTCTTTTTTGGGACATCGAGAAGCACTCTTTCTTTTTATGAAAAATTTCAAGTTACTCACAATCATTCTCTTTCATCTACATCACTTTCAACCATATTTTTTTAGTTTTCTTAAACTTTGTTTCAAAGTCAGATGGAAATTGTTTTAGATTGGAGGGAGTAGGTAGAAAAGTCAATGTGAACTATTTTGGAATTTGGGTCGGATAATCCAAAGCACTCCGTATATATATTGGGCCTAAAACCATCAATTAATGGGTCTTAAGTATCACCTTCATGTTTGAGTTCAAGCCCAAATCAAGTTCTTCTTCACTAGACCTAAGACTCGAAACCTCCCTATGATTAGGGGCGAGCAATTTAACCGAACCGACCGTTTAACCAATACAATTTAACCGAATCGACCGCAAATTTAAATTCGGTTTCGATTTTCGGTTTTAATGTCAAAAATTTTTGGTTAATTCAGTTATCGGTTTCGGTTTCGGTTTTGGGCAATGTTAACCGAAACCGACCGAATAACCGAGCCCATAATGTGTACTCCGTATTAATTATTAAACATCTTTAAGCCTGGACCAAATCTTTTAGTTATAGTCCACATAAAAAAGCCCAATTCCCAGCCCTCCTTCTCCCAACCCAATTCCCAACCCATCTCCCAAGTCCCAAGTCGGCACTCTGCAAAAAGTCCCAAATCCCAACCCTACTGTGTCGTTCTCGCCTTCTTGGTCCTCACCAATCGCCTTCCTGCTTTCTCAAACCGGCGCCATTCACGCCAAGATCTAATCGGCAATCACCATCTCTGTTCCGGCGTCACCAATCGGCAATCACCAGGTTTGTTCATTCTTTTTTGTTGCTAATTATTATTCTTTTAGATGCATTACTACCCAAGGGCCATGGCCGACGATCATCACAGCTCGTTGCCGCATCAAAAACTTATCAAAGCTTCTCAAACAATTTTGGTTTTTTTTTCAACGGTTTCAATTATCCAGATATAGAACCCAATAGTGTGTTGTTTTTATCAATCATGAATGTTTAGTTGGTCGAAATTTCAAATCTGAAATACACTACTGTTCTTCTATCGGCACTTGATTTTGTTTTGAAGATATGTTGAAATACCTCTCTGCAGATCTTATTTGCACCTTGATAAGCAGTTGATTTGTTTTACTCCAGTTTTTCGGCTGTTTATATACTTTTTCTTCTTTTCAAATATGTGTTTTTGTGATTTTGAGAAATATTAGGAGTATCAATTATGGCGGTGCATTAAACTGTCTGTTTTAAATTAAGAAATCTGCATTTTTGTCAGCTTCTTTTTTCTATGGAAAAGAAAATTTTATGCGTAGATTCTGTACTGTTGGTGTGAAAAAAGTTTTGTTCGCTATTCGATTTGCCTCGAACAGATAAATTTCACAAAGTTTGAAATTTGTTACTGAGCAACAAAATTGGTATCCTTATTGATATAGTTAGAGTTTTGCAGTAGTCTACCTGCTAAAGACTGGAAATTAGAGCAAATTATGAAAGAGTGGTATTGTGGTAGATACCAGACCAATCAACATTTGTGCTTCTTTGCTTTTGCAGTATTATCACTGTAACTCTTTTTTCTATAATTTATGGGTTAGAAATTGGCAAAACAAACCATCGTGAATATAGTCGTATAATTCAGTAATATATAGGATACCAGGAGACTTGAGTCATAGGTGTAAATGAGTAAAATGATATATAGGTGCATCAGGTATAAATGAGTATAATTAGACAGAGATGGTTGTTGCTGTATACACTAGTTCACCGAGAAGGCTCAACTCCTTGTGCTCATAGAGGAATTTGCATGAATATATCAACCACAAGCTATTAAAATCATATATGATTTGCTCATTGGCCATGCTTTCAAGTTTAAGTAGTTATGAAATTCAATCTAAAGTGTGATATGTTTTACTCCACATGTCTTTATCATCTATGTTCATCACTAGCAAAGACAACTGAATCTGAAATTCAAGTAAGATTTTAATAACATGTGTTTTCCAATCATTCGTTTCCCCATGAAGGTCTTTCAGACTGTCTCTTAAATATGGCTGATCAAGACACCATGGTTACCCAATCTTCTACTGCTGTGGGCTACAAATCTGCTGATTGTAACGATGCTTCAAATGTTTCTGGTATGGAGAGTGCTGATAATCATGCAGTACATGATACCGCTGTAGGTACTGAACATTTAGGGCCACATACTGCTATTGGAGATTCCATTTCATCAGCATCCCCTGGGGACTCAACTCAAGGTTCTGCAGTTGCTGCTGCTAATCTTACGGATTCAACTCAGCAGGAAATCCCTACAGTTCTGACCTATGATGCAGTTAAGGATGTTGCGGGGCAAGGAGACTCATCTCAAGATACAATGTATGCTGCTTCTATAAATGAAAATAATAGCGAGGCAAGGGACATAGCATTCACCAGCATCACTGAAAATGGAATCCTATCGGACAGTATTCATAATTCTGCCACAATGCATCAGCCGGTGGTGGATGATTCTGGTATGTTTAGAATCAGGGAGCATGGTCTGTTAACCAAATATATTCTGTGATTATCTATGTGGTGAACATGCAAAATTTAATTACTCCCTTATTCCCTTTAAATGATCCCCTTTACTGTTCACAGTCTCAAGCTATATCTTACGGAGTACTTTTTTACGTATATTTTCATTGATCATTTGGTAAAATAAGAGTCATGTCATCTTTTTTTTGTGGAACTTTTGATGTAGTATTTAAAAATAGAAACTTTTTTTTAATTTTATTCCAATATTTGCCTAAATTGAATCGAGGAAAACTTTAGTAAAATGTCATAATCCGAAATGGGAAGATTAAATAGTGATGGAGGAAGTATTAACTAGCCATATCAATCATAAATACTATTGTGTGATTTTCTGTGTGTATACTGTGTTACAATTCAAATGTAGACCAAATATATAGTGTAACTTGAAGAATCAAATGGCATTTTGTGGGGGCATACCAATTGCTCATGATTGTTAATTTTAGGCTTTTAGCATTTTCTCTTTATAAAAAACAGAACATTGGATTTTGTTTTGGAGCAGTAGATGGTCATTGTTTTATTTTATAGTTCTTTCACTTTGGAATTTTTTTTCTTTAAAATGGATGAGATGTTCATGTTCCTGTTTTTACCATCTGGCTTGATCTAAATTTCTTTTCCATATTATGTTACTGAATTCTTGATATCTAAATGCTTTCCCAAATCTGTTAGCATTATCTCCCGAAGAAGAACGATTATGGAACATTGTGAGAGCGAATTCTCTAGATTTTGGTGCTTGGACTGCCCTTATAGAGGAAACTGAGAAAATTCCAGAGGTATGTTTTTGGGGTTTTCCAATTGTTTAGTATTACTTGCTACTTGTTTTAGTAGCAGGCCCTCTCCCTCCTAAAAGATAAAACAAGAATAGGAGAATAGATGTGCCTACATACAGTCTGTTTAAGCATGTAACTGTCTTTTGAAATGATGTACCATTTCTATATGTGCAGGGGAACATTTTGAAGATTCGAAAAGTTTATGATGCATTTTTGGCAGAGTTTCCTTTGTGTTATGGTTACTGGAAGAAGTATGCAGATCATGAGGCTCGCATTGGCTCCATGGATAAAGTTGTTGAGGTCTATGAGCGAGCAGTTCAAGGAGTGACGTATTCTGTTGACATGTGGTTGCACTACTGTGTATTTGCTATAAATACATATGGAGACCCTGAAACAATTCGAAGGTACTTTGTATTGTTTTTTTCTCATTAATTAGTTTTTACTATTGGGAGATTATTAGCCGTGGAGATCATTACTCAATGGTATCCAACTCTCCCCAGCTAGAGTGTACTCTATTCCTCTCTAATCTTATTTCAGCATACTTGCAACTGTGCAACAGCTGTTTCACATATGGCGTAAAGGTTTGTTGGGAATGCACAACAGTGCTAACTTGTGATTCTTTGGCCACACTATCTGGTAGCTGTCTGAATTTATTTAGGGTTTGATTCAATTATGGCATTATCTCCCCCCTTATATTTTTCATTCTCATTAGGGCTGTGTCATAGTCCATGTAGTTCTCCTTGATTTTTTGATGTTTTTAACGCACATGAGGTGCATCAATATACAATTGCTGCCGAGAAGATCCATCCAAAAAGGCTAAGATGATCTATGAGTGATCTTTCACAGACATGGTATGATAGTGTCGTGGAAGGTAAATGCAGCATATTTGTGTTTAAGTTTGGGAACATAAAGCCCATCGAGTGAATAAATGCTTCTTTGTTAGTGTACTTCATTGCATTTGTAATTTCTATGACATGTCGCAATTGTGTAACTTGCAATATTATGATTTCTTTTTTTGGTATTCAGGTTGTTTGAAAGAGCATTAGCATATGTTGGAACAGACTACCTCTCTTTTCCTCTGTGGGACAAATACCTTGAATACGAGTATACACAACTAGCTTGGCCACACATTGCTACAATTTACACACGGATTTTGGAGATTCCAAATCAACAATTGGATCGCTACTTTGAGGGGTAAGCTCCTTTTTCGCTTTGAAAAAGATGTTACATGAATTGTGCATTTGTATCTTTCTGTTTGCACTTCTTTCTTGGCATTGCAATAGAATTCATTTTTTGACTTATGTCATCTCTTTCAGTTTCAAGGAGCTGGTTGCCAGTAGGCCACTATCAGAATTGCATACTGCTGAAGAGGCCGCAGCTGCAGCAGTTGCTTCTGGCTCTGAAAGTAGTACTGAGCAAGTTGAAGGAGAGGTTCATCCTAATAATGAGTCTTCTAAACCTTCAAGTGCAAGCCTGAAGGATGCTGAGGAGCTAGAGAAATATATCTCTGTTAGAGAAGAGATCTATAAGAAGGCCAAAGAGTTTGATTCTAAGATCGTTGGCTTTGAAACTGCTATCAGGAGACCCTACTTTCATGTGCGCCCCCTAAATTCTGCTGAGCTTGAAAATTGGCACAATTATCTTGACTTCATGGAGGGAGTCAATGACTTGAATAAGGTATTTGAGATTTTTGTTATATTGGGCGTGTTTCAGTTTCTCTGGTTAGCTTTTCTTGTCTTCATTGTGTATTGACTAACAGTTAAGTAATAGCCGCACCATATGCTTTATTGGCTAAACCATCAGATGAAGCATCTTTAAAACGGGGTATTGAACTTGGAATAACACGCATGGACCATCCAGTTTGCTTTCTGTAAGGCTAAGTATTCAATCTCTCATTATGAGTCGACCTTCTAGGTTCATGATCTGTTGTACGGTGGAATCCCGGATTTAAAGTCAAAATGTTATGCATGCAGGTCTCTTATCTTCCTAATGTGTCAGTCAAGGACGGTCCCTCGTTTGATAATAGAGGGGCCTCCCTGTTCCGCCCAACGGAGTACCATTATGCATTCTCCTTGTATCTATATGTTTTGAAGTTTCTTTAAATTTTATATGGAATGGATGTGGACTTTTGACCTTATAACTTCTGTGCGTGATAGGTTGTCAAACTATATGAGCGATGTCTGATTGCCTGTGCCAACTATCCTGAATATTGGATAAGATATGTTTTGTGCATGGAGGCTAGTGGAAGTATGGATCTTGCTGATAATGCCATTGTTCGTGCTACTCAAGTTTTTGTAAAGGTATTTTAACTGCTCTGTGGTCATAGTTCTCTGTTGTTAGGAGGGACTTGAGACTAGACTTGCCAATTTCTTTGATTATAGTGGAGTTCATAGCTTCATTTTTATTATGAGCAAATAAGATGATCTTGTGATATCAAATGCATTGCAATGATTACATTGTTGTAGACAGATTGTGGATGTCTAGTCTGGTTTATATTCCCTTGCAAGTATCTTCTAGATAGATCGTGGATGTTGTGTCCTGCACGTTTAACCAATAGTCCAATACTGTTGAAGTGGATGAATTTCTTAATTTTCATTATATATGCGTATACTTTTCCCTATTCTGTATCATGTGGCACCCTACTGTATTGACGTATTCATTTTGATTTAATAGAGGCAACCTGAGATCCACCTCTTTGCTGCTCGATTTCGAGAGCAGCATGATGATATCCCTGGTGCCCGTGCTGCATATCAACTTGTTCACTCAGAAATTTCACCTGGGCTTTTGGAAGCAACTATTAAACATGCCAACATGGAACAACGACTCGTAAGAATTTATCATCCACACACTGAGGTTTTTAATGTTTTTTTTCCAATTGCTTTGTGTATCTTTTTTTTTATATATAATTATCTGTCCTGCAGGGAAACCATGATGATGCATGTTCCTTGTATGAGCAAGCTATTGCGATTGAAAAAGCAAAAGAACAATCACAAACCTTGCCTTTGCTCTTTGCTCAGTATGCCCGGTTTCTTTACTTGGTATGTATCTCAGCCTTTTATTATTGAGTGTTTTATGTTCTATCTTATGTTCAACAACCTGTTTGTTAGGTAGGGACTTCATTCCTTTTACTGCATGATATTCATAGTTCCTTTATTCTCCGTCTAAAACATATCATTATTCCTATTATATTCTCTTGCTATGACATTAATTTCCCAGTAACCTTTTCCTGCTCATTAAAAAGAACTTAAATAACCACCTTATCCCCCCGCCTAAAAAAAATACTACGTACATAACAAATGCACCATAAATTTGACCCTCGTAGTTTGGATGAATTCTTCCCTAGCAATTTCATCATTGCAGTCATGGCTGTGTAGGTTCTTCGTAGTGCTGTTTCAAACAATACCCCTTATTTCATTACAAAAAATGCTACTGCTTTCGTAGTTCAGATTGATCATTTAGTTACCCCTTTCACTTTTGCTTTCTATTATGCAAGAGAAGCGATATTGCTTTTGTAGTTATCATAATATGTCTGAGTTTGTCAATAGGATACCTTCAAAATTGTTGTCACTGGTTTGTATCTGGTTTTTTGTTTTTTTGTCTTCATCACCTTACATTAAAATTCTGAAGGTTTCTGGCAAAGGCGACAAAGCTAAAGAAGTCCTTGATCAGGCAGTTGAAAATGCACACTTGTCTAAACCACTGCTTGAGGTATCTCTCTTTCTTTTCCCCTGTGCTTTTATGTACTAGTATGCGACCCAGCGCATGCTTAAAATGATTAATGGGGTTGTTTCATTATCTTAAACTCCTAATTGGGTTGTGTTAATGAATGCTTCATTTGTTCATTGTACTGCAGGCAATCATCCATTTAGAATCAATTCAGCCACAACCAAAAAGAATTGAATATTTGGATTCGTTAATTGAAAAATTCATAGTTCCTACTATTGATGCATCTTTCACTGCAAGTATGGATGAAAGGGAGGAGTTATCAAGCATCTATATGGAGGTAATTGTTTGATAAGCTTCACTTTACAATGCTTTGATATAAAATTTTGTGCCTAAATATGTTTTTTTTCTTCACAAGTTTTTGGATCTCTTTGGTGATGCAAAATCAATCAAGAAAGCTGATGATCGGCATGCCAAGCTATTCTTACAGAACAGAACCTCTTTATTAGAGTCAAAGAAGCGCCGCTCGGATGATTATCTGGTTTCAGACAAGGCAAAATTGGCAAAAGCTGTTACCCCGGTTACTGCTTCTGCAATGGCCCCATATCCTGTTGGTGTGCAGAACCAGTGGCCTGCGGGTTATGGCATTCAGCCCCAAAGTTGGCCGCAAACAACTCAAGCTCAAGTTCAGCAGTGGAATCCTGCATATGGCCAACAGGTAAATTATATTTCTAGTGAGTTCAGATATAGATGGATTGAAAGCACCTTTGGCCTCACAGCAGAGTCATATACTTGCTTTGAGTTTTCATCTGTTTAGTATGTCAGATATGAACCTAAGAAACACAAATATTTTATTTTATTTTTGGTTATAAACTGAATGGCTTGAGTGATATTGTTCTCTACTCTCTTCTTATCTTCTGGGTCCAAAAATGAAATGCAGCTAGGGTGTAGGCCATTTTCTATCAATGTTGTGTTTTTACCGTGTTTAGATCCAGGAATGCGAGAGGATTACCAGTAGATTTTCTTTCTGATCGTAACTTCTCTATTTTATACTCCCTCTGTCGGTAGAAGAATGTCACTTTTTTGTTAACAAATTTTGAATGAAATTATTTTTCATTCAATTTAGTTTTAAATTTGTGTAGAAATAAAAAAGTACTTTGTATATATTTAAAAACTACAATTTTGACCGTTATTTTGTCAAATGATCAATGAATATAGACAAAGAAAGAGAACGAAGTTTGACACATGACCCATGATTAGGGGACAAGGCCATTCTTTTGAGGATGGAGGGAGGGAGTTAAAGGAAAATAAAAAAAATGTTTTGTCCTGTACTTAACTGTTATAGTAATTGAGATTCTTAGTCAGTTTGGATGGAAGGTATTGGACTAATTGGAGGTCCAATATATGCATGCTTTATAAAATTTAAAGAGTAACATAATAAGTATCTTAATTGATATGTCAAGATACAAACTGATTCCTCCAATAAAACCTTTTGGTCAAGGAAAAAATACCATACATTTATTACTAATACACTCTCTTTTTATGCATTTGTGGGATTCATTATAGGCTGCTGCATATAACGCCTATGGTACTTACGGAAGCAATTATGGTGCTGCCGCACAAGTACCTCCTGCATTGCCACAAGCTGCCCCCTATGGAGCTTATCCTTCAACGTATCCTGCACCGGTAAATTACCCTTCTTTAAACACTTATATTATTATTATAGTAAATTCAATAATTGGTCCTCTATAATAGAGGGTTTTCCATATTTAGTCGTCCATTATCAAATTGAGGGCTAAAGTATAATTTAGTCATCCTTTTAGGGTTACTTTTCCAAGGATAGTTATTTTTTATTTTCTGTCATGTCGATGTTAAATTCAGGGTTAAAAGTATAATTCGACAACGATCAAATATAGACGTCGCCTCAAGTTAGAATCCCAGATTACAATCGTAGTCTATAGATGTCGCCTCTAGTTAGAATCCCATATTACAATTTCAACAAGCCAACATTATTGGACATATGGTTGATGTGAAAATATATTTTAGCCCTTCACTTTAACACCCATATGACGGGAGATCGAAAAAAAGACTATCCATTGAAAAGTACTTATAAAAGGACAATGGGCGTAGTATTTGATAATAGAGGACTAAATATGGAAAACCTTCTGTTATAAAAGATCAATTATTGAATTTACTCATTATTATTTATATTGTCATCATCATTATTTTGTATTATTGAACATAACCAAATGGCAATTTGTGAACCTGCAGAATTATGGGCAGCCGGGTGTTGCAGCAACTTTGACACCATCTGTACCACAGCAGCCATCACCTGCCCCGGTTCCTCCGGCAGCGGCAGCCACCACAGCTTATTATGGTAGTTACTATTGAGAGTAGGCTCATATTTTCAGCAGTCAGTTTTGTCGATGGTCAAGACAAAAAGAAAACTCGCGTAGTGATTTTCGGTGTAGAGTTGACAAACATCTCTCTCAGGACCTGGAAGTCTTGGTGCATGGCACATCTGTATTCTATACTAATATATTATTAGGTTTATGATCTATGGATGGATGTTTGTATTGGTACTTATTAAATGACTAGTTTCATGTTATATAAATATTTTTTTTGGTTTTGCATTGTGCCGGACAAAGTCACTTATTTGGATATGATGAAAAGGGCGTTTGCATTTGTCCCGTTTTGTTGATTTAAATTTTGTTGTTTGGTTTGGTTTTGAAATAATATGAAAAACTGGAATCAAAATCGTGTAACCTCGAGTCAAGTTTGTTTTTATATCGTGATTTATAGAATTTTTAATGTAATTTTAAAATAATTTGCCTAATACTTATGGGAGTTATAGTTCTCCCAATAATAAAATGGTCAGCTAATAAAGAAAAGAAAAAATGGTTTCAAAAAAAGAAAAAATAATAACATGTGCATGCAATCGTACTATCATTCCTTCTTGAGAATTTGTCTTCTTTTTATTTTTTGTAATCAAACTTGACAAATTTTTACCATAATTTAAATAAAGTTGATACGGGGTTTTAAATATTTATACAAAAATAACTTGAATAGATAAATTCTATACAATACTTTCAAAAAATTGTTTTATCTAATTGAAATACCATAAAATTTTTATTTTAGGTCAAATGTTGAAACTATTTGACTGCAAAAAGTTAAAACTAAACAAATATTCAAGGATGGAGATTGCACATAGGTACCAATGGGCCCTTCAAGCACCACAATTTTCTACCTACACATTAAAGAAAACAATCACAAAAAAATACATTGAATTCTTTTCTTGTCTTCTTAATTACAAATGACCATTTACAGGCAGCGACGCGTGAAACACCACTGGCAAGGCAAGTGTGTCATTGTCCTTCCGTCGGGGTTTTGCCTCTTTGAGCATGGTCAGGACGTCCCTCATGTAGGGCCTCTCCCTGGGTAGCCTGGCCGTACAGAGTAAGGCAATCCTCAACACTAACAACATCTCTTCTCGTATGTGTCTGTTGTTGCCTACGTTTGGATCTACCGCCTCCTCCAATGACTTGTTTTCTCTTATTTTCATGTGCACCCATTCGACAATGTCCACTGACTCTCCAAACTCGGGCTCCAATGGCCGTTTCCCCGTTACGAGCTCCATCAAGACGACCCCATAGCTATAAATGTCACTCTTTTCGTCGACTTTCGAAGTGTACCCGTACTCTAGTACAAAGAAAATGACCCAAAATCAAATTAAAAGCAAGAATTCAATCGATCGTCTAGTTCAATTCAAGAGCTAATTAACCTAATGTTTCTCAAAACCACTGCCTGAATTAACGTGCTAATATGATTAATTTACTAAAACATGTACTACTTACCGGGGGCAATATACCCGTAAGATCCTACAACCATGGAAACTGTCTCGTTCTTGGCGAGCATAAATTTTGCAAGTCCAAAATCAGCAATCTTTGCTTCAAAGTTGGAATTGAGCAAGATGTTATTTGACTTGACATCGCGGTGGATGATCGGCGGGCGACAATCATGGTGGAGATACGTCAGTCCCTCCGCCACTCCAAGAGCGATATTGTACCTGTCAATTATGCGAGGGTTACCTATCACATTAAAAATATTTCTTTTGTTCAAATTTAGTTATTGGTTTTCTAAAAGAAAATACCTTGAGACCCAATCAAGAAGAATCCTTTTGCCATGTAAAGCTTCCCCAAGGCTTCCGTTCTCCATGTACTCGTACACGATCATCGCCTCCCGATCGTTGTGGAGGAACCCTAACAACCTCACCACGTTCCGGTGTCTCAGCCTCCCCAGCACGTTCACCTCCCCTACCAGATCCCCTTCCCCGCTTCTCGGGGAAGAAGAAGATCCCGTCTCGGCGATCTCCTTCGTCCATCTCCACAGCTTCTTCACCGCCACCGTGGTGTTCAGCCACCGCATCTCCGCCTTGTACACCGCCCCCGTCGCCCCCGTCCCGATCACGTTCGATTCCTTGATGCACGCCAGGATGTCGTTGCTCGAGAATCCTATTCTCTGGAACGCCATCAGCCTCCACGGCCATTCCCCCTTCCCCGTCTCGATTCTCTCCTCCATACACGTTCCCTCCTCGTACCATCTTTTGTACGCGATTCTCGTCCCGATCCCGGCCAGAACCAACGCTATGAATGCGGAAATCGCGATCAGCCATCCCGGTGATACAGTCCGGAGATTCCTGTGCTCCGGCGTGTTGCGATTTGGATTGATTCCGTCTAGATTGTTGAAGGAGACGTTGAGTGTCTCCAGTGGCGGGGAGTTGCCGAGGCTGTAGGGGATTCTGCCTGTTAGGGTGTTGTTTGAGAGATCGAGAATGGCTAATGAAGGCATGTCCGCCATTGATTCCGGGATTGAACCGCTTAATCTGTTGTTACTGAGATCCAGGGTCACCATTTTGTTGCAGGAGGATATGGATGGTGGGATTATACCGGAGAGATGATTTGAGGAGAGATCTAGAACGGAGAGGGAGGGGCATTCTCGGAAATTATCAGGGATTTCTCCTGTTAATTCGTTGTTCGAGGCGATGAAGTTCTGGAGAGAAGGGCTGGTGAAGATGGAAGGAGGAAGAGATGACCGGAAAAGGTTTCTGGAGAGATCGATGAATGAGAGGGAGACGGCTATTAAGGCCGGAATTTCGCCGGAGAGACTGTTGTTTGCGGCTTCGAGCCTCTGGAGATTACGGAGCTTGGCGAAACCGGGCGGGATTGAACCGGAGATGAGATTGTTTTGGATCCGGACCCGAACCAGGGAGTCGCATTCGGATAACCCGGTCGGGATGGGACCGGAGAAGGCGTTGCTGAATAAAATCAACTTCTTCAGTTTACCGTTGGCGCAGATTGACGGAGGAATCTGGCCGGAGAATGAATTCGTGGAGACGTCGATCCATTCCAGCGGGGAATTCCGGCCGAGATCCCCCGGCAACGCTCCGGAAAAGCTGTTGTTCCATAGCTCCAGAACTCCCAGCCGGGTCAAGTTCGAAACCCCGTCGGGTACCGAACCGGACATCCGGTTCCTCATCAAGCTCAGTAGCTGCAAGTTCTTCAGCTCCGATATTCCAGGCGGAATTTCGCCGGAGAACATATTATCAGAGAGATCCAGCTGCTGAAGCAAAGTCAGATTCCCAACCTCTCCCGGAATTTCTCCTTCGAACGCGTTCTGGTAAAGGAACAGAGTGTTCAGCATCTTCAGATTCCCGATTTCGGCCGGAATTCTCCCCCGGAGATTCCCCACGGCCAGATCTAAATACCTGAGATTCGTCAGGTTCCCCAACTCCGCCGGAATCTCTCCTTCAAACTCATTGTAGCCTAGAACAAGCGTCTCCAGGGACGAAATCTCTCCCAACTCTTTCGGAATCTCCCCGGTCAGATTGTTCCCTGAAAGCCCTAAGAACTTCAAATTCCCCAGTTTCCAGTAAGAACCCGGAATCGATCCCTCAAAGAAATTCCCCCTCAGATCCAAGCTCTCCAGAAGACTCGCATTTCCGAGTTCATCCGGCAGATAACCGGAGAAGCTGTTGCCGGAAAAATTCAACGACACCAGCCTCCTCGTGATAGAGTATAATCCTCTAGGAAGCTCGCCTATGAACGAGTTCCCGCTGAGATCAATGCTCCGAATCTCAGTGAGATTGAACAGAGATTCAGGCAAACGAGACGAGAATCCATTGCCGGACAGGTCGAGAGACCTTAGGCTTCTCAAAGAAGCAATATGCTCCGATATCGCACCGCTGAGATTCATGCCGGAAAGGCGGAGATTCTCAACGGCTCCATCAATGGAGCTGCACTCCACTCCTGTCCACCTGCAGTGACCGGAGCCGGGTAACCTCCAGTCATTAAGCCGGCCAGTCGGATCAAACAGGCCGGCTTTCAATGACATCAAAGCCCCCACTTCATCGTCCCACTCAACCTTGCCAGAAACAAGAACAACAATTATGCTGAAGATGAAGAAGATGAAGAACAATAAGGTAATCAGGCGGAACCTCATTGTTCTTTGATGTGATTATGTGTTGAACTGTTTCGTGATTAAGGCAGGGTTAGAGAAGAAGATCGGGTTTAAACTTTAAACTAATACTCGAACGGAGTGATTAATCTAACATAATAATCAAATGTACTGTATGAAATCACATGGGGATGGATAAATTAACTCAATGATTAGGAGTCTCGTGATATTCTTTAACAACAGACCATACTTCATTTTCAAATTATTACTGCAAATTCAAATTAAACTTTTGGAGTTTATTTTACAAACATTAAATTAATAGTGGGGAATTTTTTTTGTTTATATCACTCATGCAATGGATGTAGCAACAGATCCATTAGGGAGGTATATGAATTATTCGGTGTGCGGGCTCCAAAATTTTTATTTTTTTGGTCAAAGAGTAGCACCATTTGATTATAATTTAAACTATATTTTAAAATAAATACAAGTTTACTAAATCTACATTATAGTTAAATATACGTTTTTCCTAATTTATAGTCAAAAGGTGCCACAGTTTGATAAAAAAAAATAAAACTATGACAATCTTTTAGAGGCGGAGGGTATAAGATTTAATATTGATAGATTTTCATTGTTTTAAATATTTGGTATTTTAAAATTTATTTTTTGAATATATAAGTATCTATTTTAATAGTCAAATTATTATAAAAAGTAATCAAAATCACATTCAGTAATATTTTTAAAATACAAGTACCCACACAAAAATATAAGGCTCAAAGAAGATTTTTGCACAAGGCTTATACTCCATATAATAATAATAATTTGGAGGAAATAATGAAAACAAATGGGTAGGGTGCTAAATTAAAGGTCAACAAAGAACACGACTAAAGTGACTAGAATGCAGATTTATTAGTCAAAAAACACATGACCGGCCGGGGCACACGAATTATTATTCTCCGCATTTCCGCCGTATTGCATATCTTTAAATTCTTTTTTGAGCAGTAGAAAATCATGCATTTGGGATGTTATTGTCTCACTTACATAGTTAGTTACATGTGGTGTTGTGGTTCTTGAATGTACATGTGACATGCACATCTTTTTAAATATGGAGTATTTTTTTTATGGTCACCTAATTGGATTTTATTTCTTCTAAGAAAGTTTATTTCAAATTACTTTTCTCTGTTCATAAATAAATTTTTCATTTTTCTTTTTCATCCATCCCAAACAATTTTTCATATCTATATTTAGTATAGAATTAATGTTTAAAGGTCTATTATACCCCTCTCATGTCCATTGTCATTATCGACATTTACTCCGTATCATCCACCCACCCGTCTCGTTTACGGATCTACTTTACTCTTCATCTACTTCTACGCCAATTCTCCCTTGACATCATCGTCTCCCACAAACATCTTAGATCTAGGGTTTTCCTCTCTTTCGTCTCTCAACCTCCTCTCTAAAACCTCCCATCACGTTGCTCTCACCTGTACCCATGCACATTCTCAGATTGTTGATAAGCAGTTATTTTACTTATAAGTTGCGAATAAGTTACTTATTCTCTCATTGAAGTTAAATTACTTAAATGATACATAAGTCATATAGAAATATTCATAGATGATGAGAAATAATTTTGTAAATAATCTGATCAAAATAGAGTTCCAAAATGCACAACTTAAAAATACGTAGGAAAAACCTACTTAATTTTCTTGGCTTATAAGCTAGCTTATAAATATAGAGAAGCATACAATCAGATGACCTATAAGTTAAAACAGTGTATAAGTAATTTTAACCAACTTATTAGTACAGAAGAACGCCTACATACTTTGTATACTTCTCTTGTTGTATCAGCTCTTTCTTCCACATCAGATTTTACTACTTTTTATTTTTCTTACTTCAAGTGAAGGTGTGGATACGTTGATTTGCCTAGTTATTACAACCATTTTCAAGTAAATAATCATTTTTGAACACAAAATATAAATTAATTTTCATGAAGTTTTTAAATATTTAATAACTAGAGTCTACTTTTTTTAAGCCAAGTGTAAATTGTAAATATTAAATTAACACAATAACAACACAAATAGTTTAATTTCAATGATATAAGAGCAACTCCAATGGGAGGGGCAAATGAAGAGGTAAGATACCATAATTGCCATATTTGCCTTTTCTTCACACAAATCAAACCTCCAATGGAGAAGGTAAATCAAAAGGTAATTTACCTTCTTCTATTTTGGAGAGGTATCTTTACCTCCTCAAATACAAAAGGTAAAATATTTGATGCCAAAGCCAAGTAATCTCCAGTGCATCGTCGATCTTCTATTTTCAAAATTAGACGGAATTGTGAGATGTGAAATTAAGAAACAAATGGAGTGAAAGAGGAGTGAAGATAGAGTTTTGTACTTGGGGATGAGGGAGACAAAAAAACAACCATACAGAATGGCGCTCGGGACTCGTCTCTTCCCCTTGTGCGGCTGCTATGATTGCCTCGAATTCATCTCCCGATTCATTAATCTAAAATTTGTAGAAAAGGAACATTTGACAAGAAATTAAAAAGGAATAAATTTTGTAATTAACCCTAAAATGTCTTTTAATTTGGAAAAAGTATGTTTACCTTTTCTAATACCCTCTATCCATTGGAATCAAATAATTTTTTAGAAGGTATAATCACCTTTTTGAGAAGGTAAAAGAGTAGAATACCTTCTTGTTTTGCCTTCTTCCTTTGGAGTTGCTCTAAGGAAACAACAACACTACATGATACTCCATAAGAACATCAATACTACATAGAAGAAAATATCAACTCCAAACAAAAAACTACAAAATTACGTACGATGCTAGAAAACATATGTTTATTTTTTTCTAAAGTAGAAGTTTGTTTTTTGAGAGTAAGATTTAAAAATGAGTGTGAAAGAGATATAGATCGTTTTTGTATTTATAAATAATTATAATTATTAATTAAAAAATTCTTAATGTTCAACATTAATCAATTATATATACATCAACGATGTATTACCATTAATGAAGAAAAGAGAAAGACAAGTACAATTGGCATATAGGTAGACTACCATAGTGATGTTATTTGGTATCAAGGGGGTACAAGTGATCTTATGGTTCTTACCCTTCATGGCTTCATATTGATTTGCCACCTACATATATTTTGGTACCAAATTAACAATTTGTCAATCCCAAATGGTTCACCCTAATGGTTCAAAATTGCTCATATATATTTCTAGTAGTTAGTATTTGAAAATGGTGTTAATATTATTCAAATGAATACAACATTAATCGATGAATGAATGATAACAAAATAACTCTCTCCTTTTCTTAAGAGTCTTTTCAATTATCTTTTTTTGTTCAAAAAAACATTTCTCATTATTTTTTTCTATACTCTATTTAAAATAGGGCAACTATCACTCCATTCACTAGCCTCACCCACATTATTTGAGTTTCTCCACCCATTTCGTAATTTCCTATCTTTTCTTCAACTATGTTAAAAAACATGAAAAATAAACATGAAAACATCTTTCTTGGAGTATCATTTAATTTAGTGCTTTATTACACCTTTGCTACTCCATTTATTTCACAACCATGTAACGGAAATAGGACTCCGGACTTTGTGGGCTCCACTTCCGGTGTTCACCCACGTCAACTCCCCCTCCCCAAACCTCCCCCTTCCTCCTCCTTCCCCGCTCCACTCAAACCACACTCTGTATCTCACACTCTCATTTTCATGCCGGAAAACCAGCCGGCTCGGCTTCACCCTCGCTCTAACCCCGTCCGGCGCCACCACTCTAACCGAATAAACCGATTTCCCAGGCCCCACATTCGTCACCCGCCGGGTGACAACAATCTTCCTCCTCTTTCCCGCCCCAAATGCTATGGAAATTGAAGGATAGTTGAGGCCGGAGATGGCCCTGTTTTTGTGTCCACAGGTGATGTTTCTCTGTGTAATGGCGAAGATTTGTGGCGCCGTGAACCGGGTCGAGCAGAGATGGGTTATGTAGTCTTCTGTTTTGATGTCGTAGATGAGACCCGGTTCAATTGCTCTTTCCGGGTTCACGTGTCCTGCCCCGGCGGCGAAAACTCCGGCTGGGGAGGCCGGATTTTCTTCCCCGTCGGTGATTGGTTTTCCCCGGTGGTCGATTGAGTCGGCGGTTGTGATCAGTGCTGATTTTATTGCGGCAGGGGACCAGTTCCGGTGGGCTGCGCGTAGGAGCGCCGCCAGCCCGCTGACGTGGGGACACGACATTGATGTGCCGGACATGACGGAGAAGTTCGTCCTTCTAGAATCTTCTGGGAGGGAGCTGGACCCCAGGTTCTGAGGCCACGCCGCTATGATGTTCACCCCGGGGGCGATTACATCGGGCTTGAGGATTGACGGGTCGGCGAGGCTGGGCCCGCGGGATGAGAACTGGGCCACCGCCGGCGCTCTTGATTTCCCGATCGTCGTTCCGCCGAACAAGATCCTCGCCGTTGGTTTTCCGGTGGAGTTGATGTAGGTTTTCAGGGCGGTGGATTCTTTGAAGCCGATCAATGTGGCCGGGAGTACATGTGCGTCGACGGAATCTTCCTCCATGCTCGCCGCCGTATTGGCTAAGATCATTGCCGCGCCGCCGGATTCTTTAACTACCTCCCCCTTTTCCGCCCTCCCATTGATCCCTCTGTCGCATACCACCATCTTCCCCTGCACATTCCCCAGAGACCCTTTCGCGCAGAACAAGCTCCCCGTCTTCTCCCCCGTTGCGTAAACAAGATCGAATCTTTTTCTAGATCCCGTAATCTCCTTTCCCGGGAACACGGACTCTCCGTACAGGAGCTTCCCGTTCCCGAGTTGGACGATTGCCGGGAATCTCCGATCCATCGTGCTGGCACCGACGGTGGTGATCCAGGGAGCCACGTTAGAGACCGAGCTCTGGTGTGGCCCAGAATTCCCCGCCGCGGCCACCACCGTAATTCCGTGCTCTACGGCACGGAAACTTCCGATGGCGATGACATCTTCGTACATGGGAACCGGGAAGCCGCCTAGAGAGAGGGAGAGGACGTCTACTCCATCACTTATCGCGGCGTCCATTGCTGCGAGAATATCTGAGCTGTAGCATCCGCCGAACCAACAAACTTTGTATATTGCAATGTGGGCCCGTGGGGCAATCCCACGGGCCTCTCCGAGCCCGTTTTCGAAGACGCTCGCCATGGGTACCGGAGCCCCTCCGGCAATAGACGCCGTGTGCGTTCCGTGCCCGTGAGAGTCGCGTGCAGAGACGTATTCGTCCACTGTACGTGACGAATACGTCTCCGAAGCCACACTATGGCCTTTCTCAAAGAACCTAGCTCCTATAAGTTTCTTATTACAATTTGATGCATTGAAACCTTGCCCTTCTTGGCATATCCCCTTCCATTTCCGAGGGACCGGGGGCATTCCCCCGTCACAGAAACTCGGGCTCTCCGGCCAAACACCGGTGTCGAGCAACCCGACTATCGTCCCACGACCGAACTCGGACTTCAACCAGGCACCTCCACCGACACTCAACCCCAAGAACTTGTAGGAATACGTAGTCTGGAGTTCGACCCTTGCGTCAGGCCTCACCGACACGACGTCAGGTGAAGAACTCTTAAGTTTCTCGAGCTCGGCTCCTGAGAGCCGAGCAGAGAAACCTTCCATCGCCAAAGCGTAGGAATACAGGAGAGGCGGCGGAGCATCATCTTCTAGAGAAATGACCCCGTCGAGAAGAGAGAGGTGCCAGTCCACCCGGGAGGCGAACGCCGATCTCGATAGCCCGTCGGGGTGAAGCTGGACAATGTAGGTTTGCCGTTCTTGGGCATGGCCACAGGGGACAAAGCCGGAGAGTAAAAGAATGGAGAAGAGAAATATGGCGTGGGATTCCATAGTTATTGTGAAGAGCTAGCTTATGGGGTGCATGGGCAGGTATTTGAAGGTGGATTCAGAAAATAGGAGCTGAGAGTGAAAGAAGAAACTCGTGATGGGGAGAAGAGCTCTTCGTCACGAGTATTATCATTTGTCACCAGTGTACATTCATACAGTTAGACTTCACAATTTTTACTCTGTTCTAGATGCTACTCCTCCCTCTGTTTGGTAAATTAGATCTTATTTAACTTCTATCAGATTTATTGTCGTTATTTTTTCACATTATGTAAAATGAAATGAAATTTCAAGTTTTTTTAAAATTTATTTTATTAATTTAGAGATTGCTGTAGAAATAAAAACATAAAATTTACATACTCATTTAAAAACTATATCAAAAATTATTTAAAACAAAAGATGAAAAGAATATTTTATTTTGTCAAATGTAATCGACAAAAACATACAAGTAAACAAGAATTCTCGTGATTTTTAAATAGTGAACCGTGTCATTCTATTTGGGACGGAGGGAGCTAGTAAAATAATATACTTGTTACATCTCTTTTTTTTGTAGATGTTGATGTTCTTTTAAATATGGAGTATCTAAATTTTATACTCACTCCATTCTTAAAAACACTCCCTCTTTCATTTTTTTCATTTCTAACAAAACACTTCTCCTTTCTATTAAAAACCCACTTTTACCCTTACTTTTTCATACCCTACCTATCACATCATACTTTTTTTCTAATAATCAATCTATCACATCTTACTTTTATCCATCACATCAGGGGTAAAATTGGAAGTCAACTATAATTTTACACTTCCTTAATTTGCCTTATTTTCAAAGTGGGAAGGGTTTTCCCAAACGGAGGGAGTAGATTAGTTTTTAAACTAAATCATTTTTAAATAAATTAAAAATAGTTTAATAAAAAAAAGTCTTTAAGGGATAGATGGGTATGAAAAATGTACTCCATATATAAGCCATCATTTGAAGGGATTTACCCTTGCTTGAGCAAAAGTACACGCCCTGCTTGTGTTAGGATCGATGTTCTTCAATTCCTAGTCACATTTCAACCTTTATTTTTGGAGAAATTTACCTAAATAGGACTAAAACATAATGACTTTCGACCATATATTTATTTCCCAATATAGGACCTTTGGTCATTATCAAGTAGTCATTATTCAACTAAATGTTCATGATTACAGGACATTATTCTTTCCACTAGGTCATTATTAAGTCCTATTTAGGGAATAAAAAAGTTTAAGTCCTACATTAGGAAATTCATTATGTTTTAGTCCTATTTAGTGCAAATTTCACTTATTTTTGTCACACACCTAATAAGTTTATGAGAAAAGTATAAAAAATAATCCCATTTTATGTGGTTACTAAAAATAATTTACTTTTCAATGTTACAAGTAATAATCTTAGCTTTTTACATAGATGCAAGTTTTGGGTTGCCGTTAGATATTGTTACGATAGAAAGAGGCGCAAGAAGAGACCACGATTCGGTTTGGTGTTTTCATATTTAGTTTAATTTTTGTTTTAAAAGAAATAAAATTATGGTAAGAATAGAAGTTTGTTTATTCATTTTACCATCTTCTTATATAAAAATGGTTGAATCTTTGTAATCTCCAAGATATTTTAAGATAGCATACATATTTTCTCAATATTATTTTCTGCAGATATATAATGGTGACCTAACAAATTTTTTGAACAAAAGGAAAATTATTTTGTGGTCTTTAAATCCATACTCATTTTATGAACTTTCACACATAAAATGATTTTATGTGATAGACCTTGTAAAATTAAGGAGATCCAAGTATGAACATATTGAAACATGTGAAAAAATATACATTTTACATGTAAACCTAAAGACCACAATAGCACAACTCTTGAAAAAGACTTTATTTTACGCAAAGAAATTAAATTTTAGATTATTTGAGTCAAATTTTCTTTTTTTAATTTTTTTAAGTTTCTAGATTTAAAATAATGTTTCAAAAATATTAAAAGTACGTTATTTTTTAAGATTTGTGAAAGTTAAGGTTTTCTAGGCAATTCAATACATGTTTTCTGGACAACGAACGACTATTTTTTATTCCGTAAAAGTGACATTATGAATTATTTTTCATTCAATCCTCGCAATTTTTCATACTATAATTTTTCCTATATATTTTTTTCTCCAAAGAGAGAAACTAGAAATTACTTTTTTAGTATTTTTTTTTTTTTGCACAATAACATAACCCAGTACTAATTTCTTTCTTGAAACGTCAATACAAATGTTTTTTCAATAATGCACTATTTGTTTTCCAAAACGACACTACAAAAGTTTGGAGTTATATTTTTAAAAGAATGACACAAACATCTAAAGAGTGTGCTATTATATTTCTTCTTTATAAAAGCATAATGTCAAATTTTAAAATTTAAAAACAAAAAATAAGAAATGTAAATTTACTTCAAAAGAATTCAATCTTTCATTTCTTTGCGCAAAATAACTTTTTCAAAAATTAGTGTTAGGCCGTCGTTACCGGCCTCTTTAACAGCGAGTGGGAACTCATACATCAGTAAACAAGTGAGATTATTATGTGTAACATTAACAAATAAGATTATTTTGAAAAACCAATTAAAGATTAAATTATTAAAATTTAAAATAACTTTTTCTAAGGTTAATGAGGTCAATTGACTCAATTCAAGTGTATAGAAATATAAAAGTGTGTATAGAATGAATTTAAATGCCCCAAAATTAAAAAGTAATCTTGACTTCAAAAAAACCAAACTTCATTAGTTCTTTAATAGAGTAGGGGTAATCTTACACCAATTTATTGGTGCAACTCTGTAAAATCGAGTCTTATGAGTGAACTTGATGGGGCTTGATTGATCTAGAAGAGTATGATGTGGAGTGATAAAAATATGGAAAAAAATTATTGAGTTATGATATAAATTTTGATATATGTCAATAGATTCATTTCGAAAAACATTTCAAAAATGTCAAAGTTTAATAATCTTAATTTAATTGGATCTGATATGATTCTATTAATGTATGATCTGATTTAAATTATATTTAAAATTATTTCTGATTTAATATGATATGATCTAATTACAATAGGAATAAGTAATATAGTAAATAATAAAAATAAATGGAAGACGAGTTCGTAGTTGCAAGAAAGTCATCACAAACTTTTTGATAGAAATGTCTAAACTCAGAGTAAAACATAGAGAAAGTACCAAAATAAAATTTCAATATTTTTATCCTAAAATAGAAGTTACAACGCCATTAATGTCAATGTATAGTATCAAAATATATAGTACGATACCACTGTAATGTCACATTACAAATAATAATTTTGAAGACAAAAATATAAAACTCCTGGGAATAAAGACTATGAGGAAGTGTAGAGTACCTATGGTGTTTCGTTCATAAAATTGGCGGTTCCTACCATTATAATTCCTCCTCATAAACCCTTACCCTCGACCTCGCCCCCTCACAGAGTCACAGCCGTCCTAGCCTTTGCAAATGAACCATATAAATTTCTTGGACATTTAGGTAAAATTTTGACTGAAAGAAGTCAACAAAACTTAGGAGATGCAGTTGTGAGGCTAAGGTAATTGTGAGGGGACAATGCCGAGGGTGGGGGATAAGGAGATATAAAAGTCATAAATTTTACGAATATATCATGGTTCCGACTATAGTGTAACTGTCTAACACTACACTTTGTAGTTCCTCATATTTCTTATATTTTTAACTCGACCTGGCAAAATAGAATCGGAACCGATTATCCGAACCGAAATATCCGAAACTGAAACCGGAATGACCCGAAAAATGAAGATCCGGTCTATAACCGAAAACCCGAAATGATCCGATTCGAACTGAAACCGAACTAAATAATTCATATCCGATTTAAATCCGAAACTGATTAGATCCGAAACCGATAATATCCGAACAGATTAAACCCGAAACCGATTAGATCCGAACCCGATAATACCCAAAACCGATAAAATCCGAAACCGATTAGATCTGAAACCGATAATATCCGAACCCGATTAGAACTAAAATCGATAAATTCAGAACTATGTTTGCCTTTCAACAAGCATATTATATTTTTAAATATTTACTTTTATTTTACCATTTGAACTAATTACATTACTTCCTCATTCCCTCATAAATTGGATTATCTTCTTGAAAAAAAGTACAAAATTTTATGCCTTAAATTTATTATATGTAGAAATTAAAGATAAGTTATACATATAAATGATAACGCACAAACAAATAAAATTTCCGTAATTTTTAAATAGTGAAATGTGATATTCTTTTTGGGACGAAAGGAATATATATGATGAATTGTATAGAATAACTAGATTTTATCCTAATTTCATCTCATTACAATAAATTTTATTGATCTAAGAGTTAATTTGATTAGTTTCAAACCAATTCTTTCAATAATAGTCAATAAAATTAGATGTTAGTGTTAGCATTTTGAAAAGATTCTCTAGCGGCAGCCTTTACTGTTATCATTTTCAAATTTGATCTACCTCATTACATTTAGGTGTAAAATTGATTATATTTGACTCTATTAAATTTAATTTTCTCTATTTCAACCAAATACACTCAATAATTTACAAATTTTGCACTCAATTGAATAAAATTCACTTAATTTCACCTAATTTTACTCAATTTTTACCAAATTTTATTCAAATGGAACATAAGACTATTTGAATTTATATTTTATCCTTTCATTTATATACATAAGTATATTAGTAGATGTGAGAAAAATTTTATATTTCAAAACTAAATTTTAAAATCAATTTAATTATATTAAATTTATATCATAATTAAATATATATGTTTTCATAATTTGTAGTCTAAATTTGTAAAATATGATTAAAAAGTCAAAAAGGGAAGACTATTTAGGGTAGAGATAATATAACTAGAAAAAAATATAAAATAATATGAGGTATTGAATTGATGATAGATTGATAAGTGTGATAAAAAATAAAAAGAAACACGGATAGTTAAATTTTAATTAGAAAATAATATATATCCAAAATATATTTGATCCGAAACCGTAATATATCCGAACCAAACTAGTCCCGAAACTGGAATATATCCGACTCAAATTGTATCCGAACCGAAATCTGTCCAAACCGATTTATAACCGAACCGAATCTGAACCCACTTGAAACCGAACCGAACCGAAAAATGTATAGAACCAAAATCAAATCCGAACCGAAATTTAACCGATTCGGACCGAACTGATTATAATATATAACCGAAAGATATCCGAACCGAAAAAATCTAACCCGAAATCGATCCGGTTGATCTGATTGCCACCTCTATCTTTAACCTTATTGTGATTGTTTCTTTTTTCACATCTCGTATTCGAAGATGGGTTTGGGAGCTACTCTTTTGTACTCCGTATGTTTTCTTACTCCCCATCCCCATGTTATTGTTTTTTGTTTTTTGGCACAAGTTTTTTTTTTTTTTGAAAGGGCAGACAGATAGTCAAGAACCCGTAAAAAGTATCAGCAGCTTCAAAAATCGTTCGAAACCCTATAATTTCGTCTCTCGAAACGGGGAAAACTCAAACCAATTTCACTGGCCCATCCTCAAGAAAATTGGGGTTTCGCCCAATCTTGAATCATGAAACCCGATGCTGCCCTAGATCATATGCACTAGGTTGATAGCGTGCGACAGAGCAAATGTTAGCTTTTGTGGGTTCGGTGGCGATGAACCCGGCTCGTATACTCTGATGGAGGATCCCAAAGAAGTTGTAGTGAACATAAGTTCGGATGAGGAAGAGGGTTCCGGCAAGATCAGCGGCGTCGGTTCCGGCGGAGTAGGTAGGTATGACTTTGGATGGATATCGAGGTTCCTCGATGAAGACGACGAATCTCCTGTAGATTCTGATGATGTCCTCGTGGTGGGTGAGGTTATTTTGAACACGAAGCAGTCTGTGAAGTCTTCAGTAACAGCTTATGAAGAATCCGTGAAAGCTGTGGATGAGGATGACTGTGACTGCATCGTCTTGGAAGAAGATCCGGATAAGCCTGTTCATGTAAATAATGATGTTGAACGGGATGATGATTTACTAGTTGTGAGCGAAAAGGGGCAGGTAATCGAACCCGAACTCCAAAATAATCTTTTTTCCACCATTTTTTGAAGAAAGAGGGAAACAAGAGATGAAATTCACATATAGTAGGAAATTATGCTTTAGTTTGAGGTTTTGATGCTACATTACAATGGCATAGAGAATTCAAGAAGGTTAAACCTGCTTGAGTAAGAACAGAGAATATTGCTGCTCTTTCCTTCTCATTTTCTATGCCAGGGTGGCATGCTGTGTTCTAATGACAACGCATGTGCATTGTTTGATTCTTCAATATCAATTTACCCCGGAGTATATGTTTTAGTTAAGCTATCAATTCTTATAACTCATTAAATCACTTCTGATATTTTGGTGTAGTAAACTCTAAATATGAGCTCCAGACATTCTTTTTTCGAAATTCTTTTGTTTCTTTGAAAACTATGGTTATTGGAAATCATAATTGGCTTGCTCTACTTTCAGGAATCAGTAGTAGTGTTGCAACATACACAGACTAAGCAAATCTGGAGTTTTGTCACACATGTGTTCTGCTGGGGGTTTTATTTGAACATATATCCTAACTAACTATAATGTTCTTTGCTTATCCTGTTCCTGCATCCAGCTCAACCCAACCTACCACTCACGATATCCATGTGGTGCTATGTTAACCGGTTCTATATATAATTTGGCAAAGTGCACTCGATGATGCTTCCAAGTGCAGTACATGGCCCTGCATTGGTCCTCATCAAGACTGTTATTCTTTCTCAGTTGTAGACTTGTAATCACTCAATGTATTGCTTATTGATCTCCTTTTTTTATTAGGGGTGCATGTCATAAATTATTGCATGCCCACTCCATCAATAATAATGATTCTCTGTAACCGTTTTTAACCCTTCGATACCGTGTTCATCTGTCCTTATCAAGTTTTTTGTTAAGTAATTACTTGCAAACTGAGTTGAGTAAGATGAAAATATGATATGTTTAATCACTTGCTGAGCTGTTTAGAGAACGGTACTTCTGTAGCTGTACTAATGTAACACCTTGTTTTGCAACTTCTGACGGCTTTATACAAGGATTTTAGTATAATAGTCTAAAATAAAATAATAATATATTTTCCTTTTCCTTCCTCATTGTAGGTTGCCTGTAGAGATTATCCTCATCCACGGCATCATTGTGCTAAATTTCCTTTTGCTTCTACCCCGCATGAAACCTTTTGTGACCAGGTAACTTACTAGTTTATCTTTCACCTGCCCTTTTGCCAAATTACCTGATTGCATCTATACTTAAGTGATGATATGTGGCAGCGCATGAGTTACTTTTTTTTTTATAGCTAAAATGGCTGCAATGAATGAAACTGATGCACCTACCCTTTGTTTCTATTTTTTAAAAAAATTTATTTAAAAAATGTATTTTAGATAATTTTTAATATAATAAAGCAGAATATCAATTTCATCAACTTCAGCCATTTTTGCCATATGTTAGGCATCTAAGCAGACTTGTGATGTGCATTATGCTCTTCTATATGACAGCTGTTTTTACTTGATTTCAGTGCCATTGTTATGTCTGTGATTCTCTTGCTCCATGTGGCCATTGGGGAAACGGCACGTCTAGTATTGACCACTGTCATGCCACTGAGAAAGAGCAGTTTTGGAAAGCTGAGAGACATAACAAAAAGAAAAACAGAAATGCTCTATCATCACTTCCTCCATCTGCTGTCGTGGATGCTTCTCTCCTAGTTCAGCCACCTTTACTGAACATGCCTCCACTCCCTCAGACAGTTCAATTCAATATGACACAGAATCAAGCCTTTGCCGGACAATGCCCTATTCGCCCCTGTTCAAGGCAACAAGGAACCATTTCCCCGCCACCTGGATTCTTTGTTCCAAACCGTCCTTGTTCAAGGCAACATGGAACCCTTTCCCCACCACCTGGTTTTTTTGTTCCGAGCCACCCACCTGGATACAATGTTCCAAGAGATAATAATCTTCAAGCCCAAAGTGTCTCTCATCAATTTCAAAATGGATTTGTAAATAGAAGCTCTGGCGGCAGAAGATGGAATGTTTCTCAAGCTGGACCCCACAATATCCAATCACGCACACTGTTCAAGAGGAGTGGGCCGGTTCCACAATCTGTGACAGCCCATAGACATGGAAACAGTTCATCCCACGTTCATAACAAGCCTCCATTCCATAGAAATCCTCATCGGGGTTCAAGGCTCATTGATAGCCATGGCTGGGCAACTCCTCCAATCACAAACACGGGCAGTCCAGGGTCCTTCCCTACAGACCTTAGATATATTCCATCCAATCCGATGCCCTCTCAATCTCAACAAAGCGAATTTTTGAGTTATATATCATCTTATCCTCAAAGCTTCTCTCAATCCCCAAATTATGCGAATCCCGTGTCTTCACAGCCATTTTTGGGAAGAACATACACAGACTATTTGCCTTCTGAGTTCCCGATGCTCTTTCAGCAATATGTAGACAGTAACTCCACGGGCAAAGCTCCTCCAAATACACATGCATCTGAACCCATTAATGGGATAAACAATATTGAGAATCCATTGCTGCCCAGATCCAGGCAGGCCATTTATAACAGTATACCCGAAATAGACTTCCAGTCAAATGCAGCAGGCAAGGGATCAGAATCATCTGTACAGCCACTCCCTGTGGGCAGCAGTTGCGGGGATATAAATCAACTTTATTCATCTGCTCCAATTGTTTCTCAGGATGCCAGCCAAAATATCAGCAGCCATCAAGGATGTCAAGTCCAAAGTGTCGACCCCGATGGCACATTGAATGAACCCCATAATGTGGGCCCAGCAGAAACTTCTTTTTTCGCAACGGAAGTCAATAATCAGTTAGCTGAGAGCCCATATGGTTTTGATGACTGGTTTTGTGAAGACCCAACCGTTCCGAGGGTTATAGAGGTTTCAGTCCCTCCAGCAGGAATGAACGAGTACTCTCCCGATTCTACCTTTGTAGGTTCTTGGAGTCTTTTTTAGTGTATTTGCCTGATTCGGCATTTGTTTCTCTTTGTGGATGCCCATCTTTTAGCATCTAGACTAGGTTAACAAGATAGTTTGTGTTGTACTCTAGTTGTAAGGAGTGTACAGACATGACTCTGTTTCGGCTGTACAGATATTAGGCTCATTCAATTCATTGAAGAGCACATTCTTGGTTGGAGCAAGCATTTGTGGAGTTCAGTTTTTGGGATTGCACTTCATTTTTTGCCCCCAGTTTGTCTAAATACTTTTAATTTTTGTTCGTTCAATTTGTGGAGTTATTTTAATACCTATTTTATTCATATACTATTAGAAATGCATATTACGCGTATGTATTTGTCATCATGATACATTGTTCAAGTTCAAAGGATTGTTGAACTGATCGAACTTTATATACTCATATAATGTTAAATAAATAAATAAACACCCGTAGTATAAAATTTGATTTATTACCTTCGTCTCCGAGTATTTGTCCAATTTTAATTTTTTTCGGTTGACTGTTTTCAACTTTTGAACTATAACTAAATAAAATATATATTCCATATTGTATATTAATTAGATAAAATAATATTTTGAAAATATTTGATATAATGAATATAGTAAAACTATTTTTGTATCAATATCTAATATCCTTTTTATTTAACTTGAGGTCAAAGTTTACGCATTTTGACTGAAAAAGTCAAAAGTGGACAAATACTCAGGGACATAGGCAGTATCAAATTTATATCTTGAACACAATTGCGAGTTAATTGGATTGTTTGTGTTGCTGTATTAAAATTTAGTACTTGTATAAAATTTGATCCAATAGGTGAAACAATTACCCTCTCTTTGGATGATAAAAAAAGGGAGGAAAAAATTGTGAATAATACTATTTGTACCCCAAGAATTTATACCCTATTTTGTACACCGCAAAAATGCACCAACATTTTGTGTTGGTATAATGCTAATTTTTGTTAACGCATCAATACTTTGTGTCAGTGTAAATGTTTGCTAACGCACCAACACTTTGTGTCAGTGTGAACCATCGAAATATTAGTGTATACCTTTAGTGTACAAATGAAGTACAAATTTTGGGGTACATATATATAGCATGCTCAAAAAATTGTGTAACTATAACCCTCAAGTTCATGACATTAATCACATTTTGATTGGCAAAAAGTATAACCAAGACTTTGTGCCCCTAAATATTGTTGTGAAGAATCATATTGGAGATTACCCTTTAGCCCAACAAAAACTGAAAAACTTCAGTCAGCCCATCGTCTTCTTCTTCGTCTTCTTCTAATTTCTGCTTCCCACTAGGCTTTCTTCCATAGGCTGCAGCAGAAGTTATGGCGTTATGGATGGAACCAAATTCCGAGCCAAAGACGGAGACTGAAATGTTCGACTTGGATGCCATTAATGCACTCAAAGAGTCCACTGCAATCGAACTCAAGGTTCTTTTGTCTCTCACCCTACTCTTACGCCTATATGCAGATGCACATCTTCCCGCCCAATTGCTTCAGTGGACGACCTAGACGCTAGATGAAGTTTTGATTTCTGTTGCCTTTTTCTGCATAAATTGATGTTTTCTATTAGTTCATCAGCGATGTGCGCGAATGAAGCCTTTTCTTTGTTCTTCGTGCCCTAGAATGGACATTTTGACATCTAATTTGGCTTTCAGGAAAAAGGAAATGAGTATGTGAAGATGGGGAAAAAACATTACCCAGAGGCCATTGATTGCTACACTAGGGCTATCAATCAACAGGCTTTGAGTGATGCCGAGCAATCTATTCTTTATTCGAATCGATCCCTTACCAATCTGCTATTGGGGAATAATCGGCGAGCACTGCAGGATGCTGAGGAGGCTATCAAACTCAGCCCAACGAACATTAAGGTTGCCATTTCGTAATGCGTAATTGTTGTTTGTTCTATGTTAGTTTTTTTTTTCATCTTTACTATGTTGATGTCTTCCTGATTAATGCGTATGCGTGTTTTGTAATTTAGGCACTATATAGGGCTGCCAAAGCATCATTCTCTCTTGGTCTGTTAGTTGCAGCTAAGTCTTACTGTGAAAAGGGCCTTGAACAATCCTCATCTAATGATGATTTGAAGAAGCTTGCCAAGAAGATCGATATTCGCAAGTCTGAACTTGAACGCCATGAAGCTGAAGTTTCCAAAGTTGTTTCAGACGCGAAGGTATAAACTATAAAGTTATGACTATTTTGGGAGGGGAGAAACGGTGTATTTTTGCATCTGCTGTGAATTTTTGCAGGGTCTCATCTCAGCTTTTGAGGATAGGAAATTGAAGATTGGAAAGGCAACGTATCGAGAACTCACAGGGTTAAAAAGGCCAATGCTAGACAAAAATAATATTCTTCACTGGCCTGTTGTCATTCTATATCCAGAGGTTATGTCTAGTGATTTCATCCAGGATTTCTGTGAGGCAGACACGTTTTCAGCCCATCTTGACATGATATCCTTTTTTTTGGTTAATTCACTATTTTAATGTATTTTGATTTTTAAGCTTTCATCCATTCACTATCCAAATATTTCCCATATTACTGAACCTTACTATATGCATCTATATCTATAATGACGCTTGTAGTCCTTAGTTTTGAAACATGTTTTCAGAAGATTCTCAACCTTTGCCCTGGGATGAAGGAAATGCTTATACTCGTGATGCTCTTGAACTGTATTATGAGGTTTGCTGTTTCTTATCGTATTTTCTATCTATGCTGTTTTTTTGTGGAACCATCATTGACACTGTAATTCCACGTATGTTGTAACGTGGACAATGAATCGATTTCTAATAGCATATTGTCAGAATAAGAAAAATTCAGCAAACTAGAGCATGCTATGTATAAAACTCATTCAGAACTTAACCAACTAGTGCTGTAGTATGTACTAAGTCTCTTTGTAGGAGTTGGTTACCTTCATTCTGCTTAATGGATCTTTGAAGTAACTTAAAAAATGGATCTTTTAATAAAAAATGAACATAGACAATGCTACCTAGACCCCAAAAGAAGAGTCTTGTTTACATAGGAACAAATACATCTATATAAATTTAGTAGTGTACAATTTTTGTTTTTTTTTTGTTTTAAAAATACTAACACAATATGGAGTTGGTTCTTCTAAAACAGAAGTAAGCCTTTCATGGAGATGGCTATTCAGTTCTTCAGGTTACTTCATAGTATTCATGTGATCTCGCAGGTAGGTTCTATAGCTCCTTTATCAAAGAAAGAACTTCTTCGTTATCTACTTGATGGGACTTCTGCTTCTAATTTAGAAAACTTTGAAGAAGAGGGGGATATAGATGCTTCTCTTGAATCAACTACTTCACTTGGTATGTTATCCGAGGTTTTCATTTTATACTTGTGCCCAACAACAATTTATGGCTGTTGTCAAATGGCCCTGCTTGTGCTTATTTTTCTGATTCTGTCTGCTCTTCTTCTTAGGCTATTGCGACTCCAAGTGGATGAAAGTTGATGAGAGGAGGTCACTACATGATATATTGAAAGAACCAAATCTCGTAATCCCTGGAAATCCTGGTATTGATCATTTCTTTTTTATCATGATTTATCTTTCTATATGTATAGGGAAAAAGACTAAAATAGGAGTGAAACATAGGGAAATAACAAAAATAGGACATTCATGTTTTTATCTCCAAAGTAGGACTTATGATGCCAATAATGCCAACATATACTCCGTAATACCAAAGCACACTATGGAATGCCAAGTGCCACATTATCAGAGTCCAATAGTCTTCTTATTTTGATGATAAAAGTATGTCACTCCTTTTTCCGAAATATGTGCTATGTTTTGCTTCTATGCTGAGTGATTTTGTACATAAGCTGGGTTCTAGAGCCACTCAAAAAGAGTGAACGTCTATAACAACATTGTTTTTGCTTTCGTTAATCTGTATGGTAAATGTGTTCTATTTTTCCTTGTTGGCAGTCTTTTTTCTTGTTTCAAGGAAGTCCAGCTTCTATAACACCTTCAAATCTGGAACCTGGTCTTTCAAATAGTTTCCTTGACCAAACATCATACCCAGTGAAGTCATAGGGGGTAAGCAGACCTTACTCTTCCAAACATATATTTTTGTTTAATTCTCAAAGGGAGATAATTCTAGCTTGGAAGTTGATTTTTTTTTTATATCAGAAAAGTTGAATTATTTAATTACACAAGCATGGGAAAGTGCCACTAGTTTTGTACCCTCATAATGTCTTGTTCTTTTTAACTTATTCTTACTCCCTCCGTCTGGAAATATTCTTCCCATTTTCCTTTTTGGTCCGTCCGGAAATTTTCTTCCCATTTCCTTTTTTAGTATACTTTTTAAGGCTAAATATCAATAATACCTTTCTATTTTATTACAAATATACTTTTTTAGTATTTTTTTTAATAATAAAAGAAGATTTAAAAGTTTATAGTATGTGCATTTTTGAAAATTTTGCATTTTTTTACTATTCCTTAATAAACGTGCCAAGTCAACACGGGAAGAACATTTCCGGACGGAGGGAGTATTACTTACGAGTATTACTTTTTCTTATTGAAATCAGTTCAGACAGATCAGATTAAAAACAACTCAAAATATAACTACATTTAGATTAGATCATACCAGATCAGGTCAGAATTTATTTCAATAAGATGAGACCCATTTAGATCAGGTGATGACCGGTCTAAAACGAATGAACCGATTTAAATTTAAACTTATATAGGCAAAATATATTACGCTTTCAGGTTGAAATTACGTTTGAACCTGTCCAACTGATAGCCAATAATTGAAATTAATGTGTACTCAAAAGGGAAAAGACGTTACGTTGCACCGTAAAACACGAGGGTTTCTTTTCTTAAAACCAAATAGGACGATAAAAAATACTAAATGTGTCACAGTTGTAAAAGGGGATGACTGTTACAAAAACAAAAAACAATACACCTAAAGGGACAGAAAGAAGTTTCAAGTAGAAAATATATACTGAAGTGAAAGTTGAGTATAACACTAAAACATGCTAGCAATAACTTCCTTTGACTATGGTTTTTGTGATTAGCATTAACATATTATTACATAATTTTCAATGGTGCGGTTTAATATAGAAAACACTAGTGCTAAAAGTTATCATTGGATGATGTTTTCAAAACGTTGAAGTTAAAGTTCAAATCTAGTGCCAAGCATAGCCAACGACTTTCTGGTGCGGAGTATTTTATGATTTGAAAATGAAATTTAAATAATTATTAATTAATAATATTTATTTACCAAATTACCTTTATATACTACGGACTAATAATTATAATTATCATCAACTTATGACCATCAATTGTCCTCTCTAAACCATTCAGTGGCGTCTGTTCATCCGGTTCAAATTTTGGAATTGAAAAACATGAATTGAAATGAAATGCTAGTTTCTAAAAACTACTTAATACTTCCTCCGTCCCATTTTATAACGCCGGTTTTGGTTTATGATTTTTGACTGAAATTATTTCCAAATCATTTTATATGACAAATGGTATATAGTTAAAAAATACGTATTAAAAATTACATGTTAAAATACTACATCAAAAGATCTACAAAACTAGTAGTAACAGTAATACTTTATTTTATCAAATTGCTAACGAAAATAAAGAAAGAAAGCGAGTGAAGTTTGACCATGTGAATAGTGAACATGTATTATAATTTGGGACGGAGGGAGTAGAAATCTAATACGGAGCAACACTAAGTAATTTATAATAAAATAGAATGCTTTATGTTCTTAAATTCTACTCGGTAAATAAGAGGGTATTATAAAAAAAATTTGTATAAAAATAATCAAAATCTTACTTTGGTATAATAATTAATTCATCCGTTCCAAATTAATCAGTCTAGTCTGATTTCAAAGAATTTATGAAAAAGTGTAGGGAGATAGCAAAGATTGTGAATTTTATATTCTTTATGTTATGAAGTACTCCCTCCGTCCAATAATAAAATTCTCATTTACTATTTACATTGTCAAATTTTATTAATTTTGTTGGCCTATTTTTATGTGTTATTTGATAAAATAATATAGCTATGTCACCTCTAATTTTGTAGATCTTTTCATGTAGTTTTTTAAATATGCAATTTTTATTTCATACCATTTTTCATCTAAAATAATTTGAAAATAACTTCAGTCAAACATCGTAACGCGCAACGAGAACTTTATTTATAAATGGAGGGAGTATTAGGTAAACAAAAAAGCGCAAACTAAAAAAAGACTAATTTGAGATGAATGAAGTACAGGTACAAGTACTCCATATGTCTTTGCACAATATACGGAGTATGGTATAAGTAGATGTACCTTATTCTTGGTACATCATGACAAATTTATGATTAAAAATAATTCAAAACGAGTGCTACCTTGTTTTAGAGTAAATAATATGTTCATCAGAGTTGAAATGAATATTATGATTGAAAAAAAACATTTTGTTGATTCAAAATAAACAATCGTTGGATTTACCTAACTCTATGTATAACTGTGTGAAAGTATACATTCTCATACTTCTTTCATCTTAAAACATTTCTCATTTCAATTTACGAGATATGATCATTATATTTATTTTATTTAACTATTTGATTATAAGTGTAATACTCCGTATTAAAAAAATTAACTCCAAAAAAAAAAAAGTGACATGACTATTTTAATGGTACACTTCTTAAGTAGGTAGTATAATTAGAGTGAAAAAAGTGTTTGAATATCATAGGGATTAGGGAGTTGTTAAGGAGTCGGTTTCCACTCTTCCGGGAGAGATTCTCTCCGTATTCTGTTAGGATTATTAGGATCTCATAGTTTTTCACTCCCTCTATACATATAACTCCTTCCCCCACTCCCCGTTATAAACATCCAATCAAATCAAACCTCTACCCGGCATCGGGATCTTCAGATGGCGACTTCCACCTGCTCCGCCGTCGACCTGATCCCTCTCCTCGGCGGCGCCACCAACGCCACCGCCGCGGCTCACTTCATCTGCGACCAATTCAACAGCGTCTCCGGCAAATTCGCCGACACCGGCCACGCTGTCGACACCAGCTTCCTCCTCTTCTCCGCCTACCTCGTCTTCGCCATGCAGCTCGGCTTCGCGATGCTCTGCGCCGGATCTGTCAGGGCGAAGAACACCATGAACATCATGCTGACGAACGTCATCGACGCCGCCGCCGGCGGTCTCTTCTACTTCCTGTTCGGATTCGCCTTCGCCTTCGGAGGCCCTTCCAACGGCTTCATCGGGACCCACAACTTCGGCCTCACCGGATTCCCCTCCGAGTCCTTCGATTACAGCTACTTTCTCTACCAGTGGTGCTTCGCCATCGCGGCGGCCGGAATCACCAGCGGTTCGATCGCGGAGAGGACTCAATTCAGCGCGTATCTGCTCTATTCCGCGCTGTTGACGGGATTCGTTTACCCGATCGTGTCCCATTGGTTCTGGTCCGGCGACGGCTGGGCGAGCGCTTCCAGATCCGACGGGAATCTTCTATTCGGATCTGGGGTTATTGATTTTGCAGGTTCAGGGGTCGTTCATCTGGTTGGGGCCGTTGCCGGGCTTTGGGGAGCCCTAATTGAAGGGCCCAGGATCGGCCGGTTCGATCAGACCGGCAAACCGGAGTCAATCAAGGGCCACAACGGGGCTTTGGTGGTGATGGGCACTTTCCTCTTGTGGTTCGGGTGGTACGGGTTCAACCCGGGTTCCTTCGTCACCATCTCCAAGGCGTACGGCGCGGGAGGCTCGTTCTACGGCCAGTGGAGCGGAGTGGGCAGGGCGGCGGTGACCACCACGCTCTCCGGCTGCGCGGCCGCCCTCACGACGCTCTTCGCGAAGAAGGTGCTGATCGGGCACTGGAACCTGACCGACGTCTGCAACGGTCTGCTCGGCGGGTTCGCGGCGATCACCGGCGGCTGCTCGGTGGTGGACCCGTGGGCGGCCGTCGTCTGCGGATTCGTGGCGGCGTGGGTCCTGATCGCGTGCAACTACCTGGCGGAGAGGGTCCAGTACGACGACCCCTTGGAAGCGGCCCAGCTCCACGGCGGGTGCGGGGCGTGGGGGATCATATTCACGGCCCTGTTCGCGGAGAAACGGTACGTGAACGAGGTGTACCCGGGGGTGGCGGGGAGGCCGTACGGGCTGCTGATGGGCGGCGGAGGGAAGCTGATGATGGCCCACCTGGTGCAGATAGCGGTGATCGTGGGGTGGACGAGCGTGACGATGGGTCCCCTGTTCTTCGTCCTGCACAGATTGGGACTGCTCAGGATATCTCACGAGGAGGAGACCGCGGGGATGGACCTCACCAGCCATGGCGGCTATGCTTATAATGACGACGACATTGGCGAGGCCAAGAGAAGGGAACAGGGCATGGTCACCAACCAAGTTTAATTCATTCATTTCCATTTAGCTTCCATTTCCATATCCATATGGGTATTATTATGTTCAGATTCAGCTACATGTACCTAGTATTTTATTATTCATTTATTGTTTTTATTTAGGAGTATTGCTTATAAATAATGAATGTTCATCTTTTAGTTATTTAGATATTCTTATTATGTTAGATTGACAAACATTGTGAGAGAGGGGCAATGATAAGTTATGAGTAGTACATTTTTATTTTTTACCCTTTAGTTTAATAAAATGACAAGTAAACAAAAAAAAATACCATAGTAAATAACAACTCTCTAATGAGGATTTATTTAAAACATTTGAGAGGTATATACATGTTAAAATAGTAAAAATAAAGTTCTAATTTTTTTTCAAACTTCTTCCACTTCCTTCTAAATGCTTTCATTTTTTCGACCTAAAAATGTATTTATATATGATAAACATACAATAAGAGAATATATCTAAATTTATAACATATCACTTATACACGAACAAAGATGAATTCTTTTTATCTAAAATTAAAGTTTTCTTACATAATTTTTTAGGCGATCATTTAATTGAGTAGGGCTTTATAGTTCTTCTAACATTTTCCAACTCATTTCACTTCTTTTCAATTTTTTCTAGTTTTTCCAATTCCTTCCAAATCCTTTTAATATTTAAAAATAAGTAATATGAAAAAATTGAAGAGTACAAAGCCTAGTACTAGAATATTAGTTTGACTTTTTTGGTCAACTATCTAAACATTTTTACCATTTTGAAATATAAAAATTTTAACTAAGTAATTGTTATAAAATTTTGTTAAATCAAAATTTCAATTTAAAATGACCTCAAGAGAAATATATTACTAGTGAAATTTGCACTAAATAGGACTAAAACATAAAGACTTTTCTAATGTAGGACTTAAACTTTTTTATTCCCTAAATACGACTTATTAATGACCTAGTGGAAGGAATAATGTCCAGTAATGATAGATATTTAGTTGAATAATGACTACTTGATAATGACCAAAGGTCCTACATTGGGAAATAAAAACATATGGTACTATATTGGGAAAGTCATTATGTTTTAGCCCTATTTAGGTAAATTTCTCTATATACTATTGCTTAGAGCTAGGAGTTAGCGCTTACAAGTTCATGGAGAGAATAAAATTGGGTTCCTTTCGAATGGGAATTTCATGAGTATATGAGCTATTTGGGAATAGCGTTAGCGTTTTGAAAAGGCTATCTACAGACATCGTTTAGCGTTAGCGTTTTCAAAGTAACCTGCATCGTTAAAATTTTATCTAAAACGTTAACGCTAATCTCTAACGTTATTCCCAAACAAACCCTATATATAGTTGAATAATGAAAGATCATCACATCTAGTCTTACTATAGCCAGTCTCCATCCACTCCCATCGGCGCTGAAACCTCCTATCGCCATCGCCATTGCCCTACCTATTTGTCGCCCCGACTCAAATGCCCCGAATTGAGAGGTTTGGGGAGAAGGTCTATTTGGTTTGTGATTATGAATGGGTTAGAGTCGTTGGTCTTTGTTTGAAATGCTTTGGTGCATTTCTATATATGCTTTGCTTTCTTTTTTATGTTATGAGTGGCATATTTGTACTTATTCAGTATTATGTTTGCCATTATGAGTTGTAGTTGTCGGCATTATGGCTTCGGTTGCAGTGTATAAAGAGTATTTTTTCATTGTGGTGATGATGGCAAATCATGGGAGTGTCGACGGCAACAGAGGCACGCCTTGTGATGTCTGATTTCGAAAACTACCGACAACAATAGATTGCACGGCGGGAGAGCACGACAGTAGATCGCGACAGTGCCCGGTGGTGACGTAGGCGATGGCGGCAGGCTTGATGATGCGGGAAATCACCAGCAACAGCAGATTGCACGTCGGTGGGGTACAACGGCTGACTGCAGCGGCGAGGGCGGAAGCAATGACGTTGGGTTGGAGGCGGGGACAGAAGTAATGGCGGTGGTAGTGATGTTGGTGGCCTCACTAAAGATGAATGGAAAAGGCACAATGAGTTTCTTAAAATCGAAAATATATTTAGGAGAGTTTCAACAACTCCCATTTTGATATATCACATATTTTGATCCATATCCCATAATTTTAGTCTTTGACCATATCCCCATAATTTTATGTGAGACCATTACTAAATTTTGAAAAAGGCTACTTGATTCAGAATGAGTCTATTTTTTTTATGAAAAATGAAGGACCAAATGAGACTACCAATCAAAGACGGTATCGGTCACACGGACTAGTTTGATCGCATGTTTTCTGGTCCCTATCTCTACTGGTGAGCAAGTAATGAATCTGTTGGGTTATGGAACCCGGGGGCCTAGGTAACTAGGCGGATGAGTATCGAATTAAGTCGAGTGCCCGAAAAATAGGGTCAAGTAAAACTGAGGTTGGTATTATACTAGTTGGAATATCAGTTAGAACGTAAGTCCCCCTTCCCTTAGAAGGGAAGAGGTTTATATACAAGTTACAGCTAGGGTTCCGACCGTTGGTCCGTAATCCAACGGTCTGGGCCCACTAAGATTGGGTTGTTCACTGGCGGCGTCCAACCACATAATTAGCCCTATGGCTGCTACACAAAGTAGGTTACAAGTAGGGTGGCTATAGCAACTCTGCCAGAGGCATGGCAGGAGTCTAATCGTGGGCCCCTTGATCCTGACTAAGCCAGCTCCCTCGTCTAGGTCTGGTCTGCCGCTGCTCGTGGCCGAGGCCGAGCGCCTGACCTGCCTTCGGAAACCTCTGGATGGAAGGCCGGCCGTGGTTGCTCCGAGGATGACCAACCCTGCCGGGGCCGAGTGCGCAGTGCTGGCGAGGCGCTCTTTGCTGGTCTTTTGTCCTGGTTCCGTCAAGTGGGCCTTGGCAAAGTTGGGCTAGGCCGTCTTCCTGCTGGGCTGGATACCCCCATTCCCGGGTATCCATCAGAATCGATATCAAAAATTACCGAAAAACCAGAGAGAATCGAATCGAGAAATACCGAATCGAAAAAATACCCCTAAAATATCGAATCGTACCGAACATTCGGTTCAATATTTGAGAACGGTTCTCATACCGAAAATCTCGAACCGAATATATATACTAAAATGTTATAAGTATAATAATCTTTTTATAGTTTTTCATTAAATAATAAGTTTATTTTTAAGATTTGGTTCAAATTTGATTATATGCACATTGTACTTTTATTTGAGTTTCAATTTATTGTAGATGAATTTAACATCATTAACACATATTTAAAATATCATTTTGCTATCATCCATTCACTTATATTTGTGAAATGCGTAGTATAAACTAAGTTTCATAAGCCTTTATTGCATTTAAATTTTCATTTTTTAGTTTTTTGTGTTTCTTTATTTTAATATACTTTTGGGTTTCAAAAAAAAGTTCTATGACATTTTAAATTTTAAATTAAGTATGTATGTATTCATCTTAATTTGTTTCGAAATCAATATCAAAGCATTCCGAATCATACAACAACAACAATAACCCAGTTAAATCCCACAAGAGTAGGGTCTGTGAGGGTGTGTGTACGTAGACCTTACTCCTACTCGAAAGTAGAGAGACTGTTTCCAAGGAGACCCCCGGTTCAACGTCGAAAGTTGCATTGCTTGAGTAACTGCTATAGAGTACTTCATTAATTAAAGGGAGAAATACCAAAGTAGGACTAAAACATTGAAAATATACCGAAATAGGACTTCGATGTTTTTATTCCCGAAATAGGACTTACATTACCAAACATGGTCATATACATTACCAAAAAAAGTATAGTAATTTGCACATGTACACTGTCACATTACCACAATGCAAAATCACATTACCACAGTGCAAAGTCTTATTCCGGGAAAAAAAATATGAAAGTCTTATTTTGATACTTTTCTCTATGTTTTAGTCCTATTTAGGATGATTTCTACTCCGTATTAATTAAAGAAGCACATGCAATTTAGAGATCTATTTTGATTTATTCCATCATACTCCAAAATCAAAAAATGGTGAAATTTTGACTCCATTGAAGAAGATGAAGATGATGGAAAGCGACCCAAAATTTAAAATCCATGCGAAGTAAAATCTCACATCGATGACCACAAACTACAAAGTGATAAAGATTGTGGGTTGACCAGTCAAAAAAGCATTTAAAGCTTTTCTAAAAGAGAGACAGATTCTCTCGCAGTCTCTTATTCAAGTTTGACCAGAGTATTCAATTGCCATTATGTAATTTAATTATTGGTTTCTCCGGCCAAAAAACAGGAACGAGCCTACATAATAAAAAGGCACTTTTGTCATGCTAAAGCCTATATTAATAAAACAGCTCAAATCACCCAAAAAAAGAAAAAAAAACTCAAAGATAAAAAAACGGCTCGAATGTTAAAAAATTAGTAAAAACTGATCCGTTCTTTTTTTGGGCAGTTAATCTTATTTAGAATCAAATTCACATTTTTTTCTTTTACGGAATATTTCAAAAATGAATTTACAAAGACTAATTACATAATTTATGCATACAATAGTTTTCTTTTTAAAACAAATTCCAACCACACTTTTTTAGAATTTCCAATGGATTTCGACCTACCTTATTATTTGGACTTTGGAGCGGTTGGTTTTCATCAAATATTATCACACTTCTTCAAAACATTACCCATTTTAAATAGTATTAGGTCAACAAATTATACACTTTGACTACAAATTATGAAAAAATTATATTGAATTATACGGAGTAGTATAAATTGAATATAATTGGATTTATCTTAGGATCTAGTTTTGATATATCAAATTTTTATAGGAATTCTTTATTTAGATTATATTTAATTTATAATCAAAGTGTTTGACAAAAAATGCATCAAAATGAGTAATGTTTTGTGGGACGAAAAAGTAATATATAATTCAAATTGGTTCAATTTCATTTTTAAAAAAGTCAAACTAAACGAATTATTTAAGATATGAGTATAACTTATGTCACAAAAAATAAATCTAGAATTAAAATATCTCAACAACTTCATGTAACTGTAACAAAACCAAGTGCCCCCCACAAAAAAACCCAAAAAAAGAAAGGTTGACTAGAGTTTTTCAAACCATATAATGCATAAAGCAGTCATAAATGGGGTTTCTTCCTACCACACCTAACACAATTGCCAAAAATTACTCCCAAGTTTTTTGAGTATCCATGTCACACAAACGCCTGTTTGGAATATCATTAAAGATTAATGTTAGCATTATTTGGAAAATGCTATCTACGGGTAGCGTTTAGCGTTAGTGTTTTTAAAGTAATCTGCGCCGTTAAAATTTTGTCCAAAATGCTAACGCTAATCCGAACATGCCCAAAGAAAACTATTGTTTTTTAAAAATTAAACAAAAAATTAAAAAAACAAGAAATATATATATAAGCTAGAATTACAAAATGGGGCCGCGGCCGGGTTGGTGGATCGGATCAGGAGGAGCTGAACTTGTAGTGTTTGTCGACGGCGACGGAGACGTCCCAAGTGCAGCTGAGCCCCTTGGGTATGACCACCAGGTCGCCGGCGCCGAACTCCACCGTCTCCGGCGACGCCGAGTTCTTGGGGTAAACCTTCACTTTTCCCCTCAGCAAATAACACGTCTCCTCCGCGTCAAACTTCAGCTGGTATTTCCCCGGCGAACAACCCCATCTTTACGTACATAACATAACGTTTTTTTTTTGTTTTGAAAGAAAAACAACAATAAATTAAAAATAAAACATACAGAGTAATAAAGTAAAATAAAAAAGAGAGATTATATATGATATGACGTATATATATACATACTTGGGCCAAGATTTGATTCCGAGGTCGGAGAGTTGGGCCTCGGATGGGCTTTTCTGGACAGTGATTTGCAGATTTGAAGGCGAGGTTGACTCGTCGTCGTCCGCCATGAAAGCAAAGCTTATTATTGTTCTTGTTGATGATTATAATTGGGTCTTTATTTAATACTATATATGCACTGTGATGCTCTGATGGAGAAGAAGATAACCTACTTAGTAGAAGAGGTCCCCAAGAGAGGGAGAAGTTATATACTCACTCCACCCTCCACGTGGACCGGTACCGGTATTTAGTTCTTATCGATACCGTACCAAATAATGTTATTCAGTATGAGATTTTACGTTGTACCGATTTGTATCTTGAAATTTCAGTTGGGTAGGTTCGGTATCCGTTTCGGTATAAATCGGAATGAATACATACACACTAAATTTAAACTTTAAAATGTCGCAAAACCATTTTTTTAAAATCAAAAGTATATCTAAATAAAGAAACAAAAAAACTAAAAAATGAAAATTTAAATGAAAGATATACTAATGGAACTTAATTTATAATTCGCAAATTAAAGTGAATGGACGATAACAAAGTGATATTTAAAATGTGTCTTAATATTTTTAAATTCATCTACAAAAAAAATTAAAACTCAAATAAAAGTACAAAAATACTTGCTCAGCCCTAGATTCTAGAACCACATGTGTCGATCTGGGTATCGTTCAGGAATGTATGGGTGGGGAAGTTTCCGGTTCTGGTCCAATTTCTAATATGATTTTTTATTTTCTCAAATACACGGAGTATCATGAATTTAGAATAAAAAAGACCTTATATATAGCCTTGTATGTATTTGAAAGAGTACACTCAATGGTGAGAAAAAAATTTGAAAATGCTAGATGTACACCAAAGTGGTATACCCTAGCATAAATAAAAAAAATCCCACCAATCGCTCTCTCTACCTTCTCTCTCATATAATTATGATTTTTGTGTGTAAATTTTTGGTGTAGATATTCATTTCCTTTTATACAATTTAATAATAATTGGTCTTTTTAAATAATGAAAAATACATTCATATATATATAGATTACAAAAAAGAGTTCCAATCCAGGTAGAAAAATAATTATAGTAATAACACAACAAAGAAATAAAAAAAATAAGGAAAAAAATTAAATAATAATAATTCAATTTCCTAATACCTTGGATGATGCAAAAAAAAATCCCTCACCACTCCACTCCGCCCACTCAACCAGCCTTAAAAGAGTGAAAGCTTAAAAAGACGTTCTTAGATTTTACTCATACTCTTACACAATAACACAGCACTATAATTAAGAATTAAACTTTACAAAATATTGCATTTTTACAACAGAATATGTTTGTCGCAAACTAATTAAGGTATATATAAATATATATATATATATATATATATATATATATATATATATATATATATATGTATGTATGTATATTCTCTCGTGAAGGCCTTTTAACTTGCTACTAGTCCCTCACAAGTTATTTTGGAACTCAAAGAATTTGGATTTAGATTTGAGCCAAATTCTTATAATTCAAAACTAACTCAAGTACAAATCTACATTCTTCCCCATGTCATTTACAAATTCAAACTCAACATTTTTTTAATTTAAAACTTGTAATTGAAGAGTGATCTCTCTTTATATAATTATAATTCCATACATATAAACTCACTTCCATTATCGTCTTTGCCGACTTCAAAATTCAAATTCTATAATTGAAATTCTATGACTTCCAAATAGCATTGTGAATTTGAAATTATAGAATTTTAAATGTTGAAATTAAAATCTAAGATTTAAACTGAACTCTAGTTCACAAACACTATCAGGCATCATACTTATTGATTCTATTTCCGCTTCTACCACTTAAACTATATTACTCCGTAACTTATTTGTGTTTCGGTGTTACTTATAGCATATTTACTGGGTTGGTCCAATTAAATACTTTAGCCCAAATTTTAATTAAATTATTCTGAATTTAAAGTGATAACTACTTAAAAACTTTAATCCATATGACAAAGTTAATTCGTTTGTCTCACAACAAAAATTAACTAATTACTTTACATTCTGCATTTGTATTCAAGTTTACTACACTAATTTTTTTTGTTTCATTTTACCAACTTTTGTACCAAATAAATTTAATAACTTTTAGTGATCAAATTACATGTTAACTCTATCGAATTAAATTATTTATATTATTTTCTACAATATTTATTCATATCATTTCATTTATTTAATTAAAATTAAATAAATCTTCTAAGATGATTTTGCGGATGTTAACATTTTTAGGTGAGCGAAATTACAAAATTCGTTGAAAGTTTTTTTTTTCATTTTTTTTCCTCGATGCTTTTATCGAATCGGCAGAATTAGGAACCAGGATGTTGTTAGTATTAGCTAGGGTTTCTTATCTCCCTATATTGAGATGCATGTAATCCATACATTTAGAATTATCAGAATAGTAATACTCCCTCCATTTCCTAAAACAATTCATATTATGATTTTAGCTAGGCCTAAATAGAGAGTGTATATTTATGGTTGACTTTCTAATTTTGCCCTTGATGTGATGGATAAAAATAAGACGTGATGGGTAGGGTAGGAAAAGATAATGGTAAAAGTAATTTTTAATAAAAAGTGAAAGCATATTAGAGAAAGAAAAAAAAATGAAAGAGAAAATATTTTCAGAAACAGAGGAAGTACAAATCTTCTTAAACCCTAGTTCTTCTTCATCACCCTCTCGACTCTCTTCTCCTCCTCCTCCGATTCTTCCTTCTCAATCTCTCAATCCGATACATTTAGTGTATCAATATTCCATGGATTTTTGAAGTTTCACTTTTAAACAAAGGGTTTGTACGTTTGGCTATTAGTTTTAGCATTTTTAAAAGACAATTTAACAAAAGAATTTGTTTTAACATTTTAAATTTAGTCTGCAAAATTAGCAAATCATTCAAAATGTTAGCGCTAGCAAATCAAAAACATGTTCCCAAATAAGATTACACCGCAAGTACGAATTAAATTTTTTTTTAAAAAAAGAAAAATTTCTCAACTAGCAATCCTAGATGATTTTGAATAGTAGTGAGCTTGACATGCAGTAAATAGGGGAGGCCAGGAAAGTGAATTGCAAGACGAACTCGTCTGCGGTAATGTGTTTCTCCTCCATGTTTATTGGCTAAAAGGAGTTTTGCTAAAAGTGCGATGTGGGAACGCGCCCCTAATGTCGTTTCCTTCGGGAAGAAATATGGATGGATAAGTAATCTACTCCGTCGGTAAAGTGCCATGACATTAGATGACTCCACTCCCTTCAAATACAACCCCTAAAGTTTATTTGATTTTGAAATCAAATGGGGCATCGTAGCAGTCTCAGGTCATACCATGACATGTGATTCCAATGTCATGAAAATCACACCCCAAGTACTTTCTTAAGTTGTAAACCTAAACTGTCTTGGAAATTATGAATGGGACCCCACAATTCAAAAAATTTAAATTAGATGAATATATTGGGACGAAAGGAGTATTTTATTTATTATACTCCGTACTTATTTTCTTATAAGATAAAATTTCACATTCAATAAATATTTAAAATAAAATTTAGAGTATGTTCAATAAATAGACTCTATTTAAATATGATTTTTTCATATTTAGTCCTCACTTCTAAGATATTACATAAATGCTCTTCAATTTTATAAAATATCTTAAAATTGAGAACTAAAAATTAAAAATACTTGTAAGGAGTAATTAGAGACCAAACTTAAACGTTGCAGTTACGGGGACTAGAGTGGTCGTGAGGGACAAGGTTAGGGTGGGAGTTCGTGAGGGGGTTAAAATGGAGGCTCACCCAAATTCATTTTTTTAAAAATCATTAACGCTTTAACGGGCTCCTGTAATCAAGAAGTTATATTAACGGGTCTTGAATATCTCAAGGTTGAATGTATAATAGAGTGATTATATGGTGCACCTTGGGTGCATACGATTTTTGTAGGTCTTTTCAAATAAAATTTGTTAATTTAAAATTTTTAATTAAAAAAATAGATGCTTATTTAAATAATAAAAAAATGCTTATTTTGCTCATATGTAGGTCTATGGTGGACCTTAGATCCATCATAGAATTCGCCTATATAATATGCTTTTACAGTTTACTCTTGTTGGTTGATTTAAATAAATTTCAATGGTGGTTGTAGTAGGGAAAAAGGGAATAAGAGATCTAACTATCTTTTAAATCAACAAAAATTTTGCCATGGGAAAATGACAATTTACACCCTGACCCAAAAAAGTTGTATGGATAAACATACACATACACTGATTCAGACACACACACACAAGCTGCAACTTTGAATATTGAGAAGAGATTGTTGCTGTTGCTTAGCTAGCTAGTACTGGTGCTCGGTCCCCATATACGAATTGTCTGGTCATCGCTTGCCGATGCTAACATTTGATGTCTCCTTGGGTTCCAGCTCACACAGTTCACAGTCTTCGAATGCCCAGATAAGATCTCGATGGGCTTGCTGTTTTTTCGGTTCCATATATAAACCTGCATCAGGTTCAAGACACAAATCATCAGAGTATTCTTTCCCCCTTCAGGTTCAAGATAGCTAACCTGCAACAAAATACCATTGAATCTTCACTGCCACTGGCAATAAATGAGCTATTCAACCCACCAAAGCAGGACCGGATCACATATTGATGTTGTTTGTGGCCTTCGTACTTGGTTGGCGTCACCCATTCCCCTGCAACATCCCACATATGGATCGCCTGACTGTTTAGGTTCACAATAAAGAATTTGCCATCCCCAGATACTGAAAGGGAAGTGATTGGATGCTCCTCTGCAATGATGCGTTCGCTGTTCGTTCCCACGTTTAGTATCCGGATTTCTTTGTCAGCAAATACACTGATAAGATTCTCCCCGTCTGGCGTGACAGCAAGATCCAAAACCTTAGGCATCCGCATCCCTTTCCACACTTTGATCTCGTTGCCCTCACAGTCCCACATGTATATGCCGTTCTCAGGGTCTGAACTCCCGCAGACAATGCGCTTAGAATTTGGGAACCAGGCGCACGAGTTCACGATGATGTCATCGTCGCCAAATGTGCGCTTGAAGGTGCCTGTTTCCACGTCCCAGAGTTTGACAACTTCCATGTTTCCACAGGTCAGCAACATGGTGTCATCGGGGCTCCATGACACCGAGGACACCGGTTTCGTGTGACCCAACAATGCATGCTTCTTCGTCACCTCACTGTCATCACACGGAACCTACCACAAAAACTGTCAAAGTTGATTTACAAACAC